GGGTCTTCGATAACATTAGTACTGATGGAACACTCATCGACACTTGGGAAGCTGTGCTGAAACTCAGCACCGCCATAACATCGACGGTGTAAGACTTTTTCAGAAACTTCTAATGCGACTGTGGTCTGTAAAACGTCTACTGTATGTGACCCGAATCCTATCGACAGGGTAAAGAGGAATCGGTCACCGTGGAAATTACTGAACAGCCCAGATTTTGTAAGAAAACTAGTTAATGAATCGGTCGCGCCATCTACTCTTAAGATTGTCCGATCTGTTAACAGATTTTACGCGGTTCCGGACCGTAATCTAACTGCCAAATAAGAAGAAACCCAACCTCAACGTAATGGAAAACATGGGAACGCAATCAAGGTTTGCGGTGATCCTCTCATGACCACTAACGTTAGAAACAGCTCTGACCTCCCTATCAATCCACAAGACAAAAGTGACAGGATGTTTAGGGAAGACTTTAACAGGAAGCACAGACTTCCCAAAATTGAACCACTTAACGTCACACACCTTTTCCTGGAGGAAAATTTCTAGCAACAAAATTATCCGAGACTCCTTCGTGCAACGTTCGTCAACGCTATTAATTTTCTGCTGGCCAGCTACTTCGTGAATTCAGAGGGGTATATGAGAACACTGCTTGATGTACCACATTCTGAGACATGTCCCACCAGGAACATCTTTAAGGAATCTCGCGTGACGTTCTTTTGCGGAGGAAATGTCATTGTGCAAGGTGTGCCACAAAACATAAACACTAACCATGCAGACTACGATACTCTAGAGATGAAGTTCACAGACCAGTCTTTGGAGATGAAGAACATATTGACCCAACAAGTTGTTTGGTTAGCCAAGAAGGAAGATCCTAGACCCCGACCAATAAAGATAGTCCTCCTATCCTCCCATGTCGCGGCCACCACCCTCAAAGCATTTAGTGTCAACAGATGCCTGTGACCGGCTGAAATGTACATGCAACCGGACGGACATATGGTAGTGAACAGAACACTGGTGGGCACAATTGAATGTATTTAGCACAAAATTACAGTTACTCGGTATAATAGAAAAACCACATATTAAATCGCTAATATGCAAAGTATCAATCCCTCATATCGAACTGGACTGTTCCTATTGCAATCATCAATCCACTGTCTCACATTTCATTGTTCAAGGGTTTTCTTACAAATCGCATTGTGTTTCAGCTCTTCCTTTCTTGATCGTCCCCCATCTTCTGCTGCCAGAAATTACGTTTCCAACTCGCGCCATATACTACTTATATCAATATGAGTAGCACGCACCACACAAGGATCAAGCACAGAAGCGAATTTGAACTGACTATTTTACTTGTGGACAGTCAAGACCAGGGGACAATGTGGAAGGGAGGCCCTGTGCGGGTAGGTTGCCCGCCCATTCCCATAAAGCTCACTCGCATAAAGGCAAGGGCGGCCTGCTTGATCATCTGGGCTACCTGTTCCTGCCATCTAGGTATTTCACCAAGTTATCTATTTTTGTTTGTTTCAATATATCACTATGTTTATTAATCGCATAACCTATTCTGCTGCGTTTCTGAAAAGTGTATAACCTTTCGTTGTCAAAGTTACAAAAAACTCAATAAGAGACAATGTGGTGGCTGGCAATATACAACGGAAAGAATGCACATTATTCAGATGTTCATTCAGTGAACTGCTAACATCTAACTGGCGATCACTCAGTATTTATCCCCAGGACCGACCGAGAAGAAAGAAACGGAAACTTATTGAAATGCTTTACGCTGAGAATTCTATATTGTACCAAAAATATAATATTGAATAAAGCTGATAATAAAAAAAAGAGGCTCAAGCGTTTCAAATTAACAGTATTAACTGCCTACAAACGAACTCTACGAGTTTACTGAACAAAAGGGATGAGTTGCGTGAACTAAGTAACGCCAATGATACCCATTTGAAACATGGAAATCTCAAACAACGGATCGGGAGCCAGCGATATCCGGTTGCTTTCGTCTCGCAACGACAAAAAAACATGGATTAGGGGCGGGGTGGCCTTGTGCCTAGGATCTTGCTTGGTAGCACATTAGGTGTACACTCTAGAGTTTATCAATCTTGATAAATCTATGCCGTGTTTAGTAAGGTTGCCTAACACCTTGAGGTGTCTAGCTGGAGTCATCTACAGGAAGCCCACTGCGGACATTGGGACGACAATCGTATGTTGGAGGGATTATCTCACTTGGATACACTCATACTCTGATTGTAGGAGACTTCAATCTTACCTAAGATAATTTCACTGAACACACGTACATTGAATGTGATATCACTATTTCAGCTCGGTTAAACATTAGAAAAACTGAGATCAACAAGTCGTTGGAGAAACAATCAGACACCTTGCGCTTGGACTGTATATTTGCAAGTAAAGAATTTCTAATTGACAACCTAATGATCTTGGCTCCTTATGAAAAAAATGATCACGCTGTCATAGCCTTCAATTCGGGTTAAAGCATCCTACTAACGACAGGCATCGAAATTCAAAGGTCTGGAAGTGTTAGCTTTACAGAAGGACCTACAGGAAGTGGACGGGTAAGTCCACCCTCAACTTCATGTGCACTTACTGCACACGATCATGTGTGATACAAAATAGTCTGTCTCCAAAACGGTCCACAAAAATGACAAGCAACATACAGTCATAAAACATTTCACCTTCTGAATGCTAATACACAACAAGGACTACTGGATGGAATACAAACGAACTAATGAGAGCAACAAATATAGGCAGTTCAAACTAGCAAAGGACCAATGAACAAAAGCAATAAGAGAAGATAAGCTTCATTATCAGCTAAATCTAACCAATATATTTGTCTCCAATCTGAAAAGTTTATTCCGTCATGCAACCTCTCTTCGACCAGTGAAAAGCTGAGTTTCCCAGTTGTTAGGTCTTGATAGTCCTTTTGGTGGAACAGCGTTTCTCAAACATTTCAACCGTCTTATACAAATTGTATCGATAAAAGCTTTTCATGCAACTACACAAGTCTCTAAGAAGTGATCCTGAGCACTGACTTGGTGTATCGGAAACTGAAACACCTAAGCAAGGATATCTCTCCTGACCCAGATATGGGAGAGAGGAGCGACTTTAATCGTGGAGAAACCATTTAGTGTGATGTTTTCATATTCAGTAAGCCGAAGCTCGATGCTAAAAATTTGGAAGCTGGCTCATATCACATCAATTTTCAAAAGAGGCTGACGCAGAGAACGCTCAAACTACCGGGCGGAAGCACTTCTACCAATAGTCTCAAGAATTACAGAATTCCTGACATACGACGGTCATTGTGGCTAGTTATTGTTCGTAAACTTCCACTCACCTCAACAGAACGGTCTTAGGAATGGTCACTTTTGTATGATCAACCTGCTGACCGAGGTGGACAGATAGAAAAGTATCCCTTACTTCTCAAAATATTTCTATAGAGTCAGTCATATATGTCCTATCAATAAGCTCAAACGGCTAGGTATCACGTCAACATTGATTTATTGATTTACTTCATATCTAAGTAACTGACTTTTTAGGGTAAGGGTCAACTTCACTTTTTCCTAGTTCACGGAGTGTATTAATGGGGTCTATTATGGTTCGGTACTATGACCTATTCTTTTCTAAATATACAAGTGACCTTCTTCAGCAAGTGTCATCTGATTTGTTACTTTTCACTGATGACGTGCGACTTTGAAGAACAGTGTGCAACCAAGATGATGAGCTGGCACTAACTTCATAGTTGGGCACATACCGACGAAATTACTCTCAACACTTCAAAGTGTATGGTAGTTCATCTGAGATACGTTGCAGACCACTCATACAACTAAATTAACTCCACTCCAGAGGCATCCCAAGATGAAGAAATGGGAGTCTTAGTACCCTATAATCCATGTCTTAAGCTAACTGAGACAAACGTGACTTTCGAGCAAACATTGAGCTGGTAACGTTGAAGTGCGTTTCTGGTCAGTGTGACAGTGGAACTTTTTATTCAATCTTCAGTAGTTTTATTCGACCGCATTTGGAGCATAGAAATGTGGTGTTTACGCCTGTGCTCCAAAAGGACAAAAATATACTGGAACGTACCCAAAGGTGAGCCATGAAATCAGTTCGGCGACTCAAATTCAAGTCTTATGAAGAGCGCCTCAAATCACTGAATCCCAATCTATCAGAGTAAAGGTGTCTCAGAAGTGACCTTGAAGATGACACAGGTATTCAGTGTTTGAAAACGCTTTTACCAGCAACACCTAATATAATTTGTACCCACCGAGAGAAATCAAAAGACAGAATCGAGGAGATCGGAAGAGTGTATTTGGCGATGACCAATATATCGGAATTCTCTGATCTAATCTGGCTAGCGATTGCGGTAGATGTTGAGCACAGCGTTACCACACGTGATCTGGTGCGGATGCATGACCGAGCGCCTTCAGCTAGATGAGTCCACTAAAACATATGGTCAGCATCCAATTTCGAAAACTTAGAGAACTATTTATTTTGGAGATTTATTTACCGCTACAACCTCCTACTGACTACAGCATCTTAAACACTCCTAAGCATCCTCTTTATTATCTACTTAAGCATAGTGCGAAAACACAAACTTTAGAGTTAACATTCAGAAATCAGAGACATAACATAGCGGAACTGACAATGGACCTACCTTTTACTCCTTACGAGTAGTCAACTTCTGGAATTCACTGCCATCTGAGGTAATCCAAGCGACTCCCTAGGAGTCCTTTAAGAGAAAACTTGACACATTTTTTAGGACTTATGACAGTATCTTACCATAATTTACTTACATTTCTCTTTTTTGTCGTTAAGTATACCTAGGCTCCTACCTAGAAGCTTCAGTGATCCACTACTGATAGATATGGAAGCTTGTTCAGCAAAAGCACTTTTTTTATTCCAGGCAGAACCATTTGAACCATTTACTGAAAACATTAACTCCTCTCATTTTTTCACATACTACAACATTTTCTGATTTATGCTCTAACTAATAGCTTTGACTCTTCACCGCATGTTTCTAAATTCAGGGAATTGTTTCTTAACACTGTATCAAAAGTGTAAAGTAATTACTTAGTCTAGCTTGAACGTTAAATGCATATTGGATATTGAAACTGCGGACATCTGGCGGCGCGGAGTTACTCGTGAGGATGTCGTTGTCAAAGTATATTTCCCCTCCCTTGACTTCCCTTCCACTGTGCTTACCCCGTTATTATGGCGGTGTGATTCTAGTGGGTGTAAGCGCATTCGGGTTAAACATTTACTTCGCCCGCCGAGTTATGCAAGCTCGCAAAGAACACAGCGTTGAGTTGCCTATTATGTACCACCCCACAAACAAAGTATTTAACTGCATCCAAAGAGGTCATCAAAACTAGTATGTCGAACATTGTTTTATGTTGCTTTTCTAGTCTAGAGGTTCTCCCCTTTTTTCTCATGGCGTTGTTCCTGGGTGGTTTGCGTTACCCTGTAGGTCGCCATTTTTCTCATAATTTAAAACTTAGCGGACGTATACTGCGTGTGGTGTAGTATTTCTCCTTGGTCGCCTATTGTATTTTCAGGGATATGCAACCGGAGGTAAGCGATGCTACATTTAAAGTGCTTTATTGTGGGTTACAATTTCAACTTGAGAGTTTATACGCCTTAAATTCTGTATATCGATCAGGAATCCAATCTTCTTAATTTAGGGGAATGGCACAGAGACTGCCAATTGTCACTAAACTTTGGGTAGAACCCAAAATCGGGAGACTGTCGGATTACTATTACTGGTTTAGTGTGATGTAAGACAGTATATACACATTTTATATTTGTTGTACGTCCCGCGCGTCCATCGGATTAAATTCAATTCTTATGACGAACTCGAGCGACTTGTTGCGTAACACTGAAAACCCCTGAACTCTATATAACCACTTTAAAACACTGCATAAATGCATGGCTTATAATCTTAATATAGTATTCAAACTCTACTATTAGGATTAGGTTGCGCAGTTTACGGTTAGGGTTGAAATTACGGTCTTGGACTCACGGTTATGATTAAGATATAAAGTCATAGTTTAGATTAGGCCTTACGCTTACCATGTGTATCATAATCCTAAACGTTCACTCTAACCCTGAATCTTAAGTTCCAATGTTAACCTGAACCCTAGTCCTAAATGCTAGTCTCCACAGTCCTCTGCTTTCGAAACTACTTAACATTCTTTCATAAGTGAGATCATCCACAAAACAACCGGTAGACAACGTTTCGGTTAATTTATTCACCGTAAACTTGCTCGTTCTGGATAGGGAATTAATTTGAACACAAGCTTCTAGTTGTTGCAATGCCCTGCTATGGCCGAGAGTGGGGTGGGCCCGCCCTCTCTTTCGAAATGCTCTCACACGACCACGCGTATACAGCCTCTGCCAGGGAAGTCCTACTCACTGCCCTCTCGTGGCGGGGATGTTTGCAAAAATGAGAGGACGAAAAGCGAATGTCCGGCGCTTTAACCGGATCCCAAACCAATGGTCCACATGGGCTTCAGTATCCTGAAGGGACAAATGGCGTCTGAATCAGTCGTTGGTCACAGGCTACCATGGGACTGCATCTTCTTACGATGCTCCATTGCCTTGTGGACCAGACCTTTAGGTCAAAGGCTCGGGGTGTGGCCCCCTAAGAAAACCACCTGGTTCGGTTTGGGCACCCGGGCAGTATCACAGCCCACACACAAATATGGTGTGGCGCATATATATTTGGTGCCCTCTTGCACCAATATTTATGTGTCCAAATAAATAAATAATGACTAATTGAAGTTAATCGAGGCTGATAAGGACCGAGAGTAGGGTTTGAGTTTTAACTCTCAAAACAAGTCTCTCTGATAAAAAATATATTGCAGTCAGGATCGGAACGGTTATTTTAGTCAGTCATAATGTGCGCTTCTCTCCCTCGAAATGCAAGTTGTTGCTTCAGCACTGGTCTGCGCCAACACCTGAACTAAGGATAGGGAGTGAAGTAGTCGAACACGTTGACAACTTCACTTATCTTGGAAGTCTGATCAGCCCTAATGGGCTGGTATCGGACGAAATCTCAGCACGGATTCGAAAAGCTCGCTTGGCTTTTGCCAACTTACGTCACCTTTGGCGAAGGCGAGATATCCGTCTATCAATAAAAGGACGAGTATACTGCGCGGCAGTCCGTTCTGTTTTACTTTACGGCAGTGAAACATGGCCTTTAAGAGTAGAAGACACTCGTAAGCTATTAGTATTTGACCACAGATGCCTTAGAAATATTGCTGGCGTCTGCTGAGATCACCGGGTAAGTAATAGTGAGGTTAGACACAAGGTATTAGGGAATGATGGTAAATCAGTTGATGAGGTTGTGAATCTTCACCGATTGAGATGGTTGGGCCACGCGTTGCGTATGCCTGAACACCGATTACCACGACGCCCAATGCCAACTGATGTTGGGGATGGTTGGAAGAAAGTTAGGGGCGGACAAATCAAAACGTGGCATCAGTGCTTGAAGTCACTAACTTCTAGTCTGAGCCATGTTGGTAGATGCAGACTACTTGGTTGGGGTCCGCGTGACTATCGTAACCGATGGTTGAAGACTTGGTGACATGGCTCAGAATCGATCACGATGGCGTAGGTGTATACACTCTCTGTCTTCCCTTAAACTAAGAGATTAAAACCGCTCCATATCTTTCTTTCTACGTACTAATTCTTTCTTCTTGTACTATATCATTATATGCAATCTTTCTTTTATATATTACCACAACTGAATTAACTACTTTTATGAATCCGGTGTTTATCTTGTTGTGTTAATGAGGTATGGCAACTTGGACCGATGCATATATGTGCTTGGTCCTACGTTGTAGCTGACTGACTGACTGACTCATAATGTGAACGATGAGCAGCTTGGTTAATAGTACTCTCCTGTATAGTTCTTTCATGTTACACGAGTTGGTGGTATGATATGTTTATTATTCGTCAACTTATTGAAAAGTATATATGCACTCATTCCTTTTTTTACTTTGAAAGACCCAGCAAAGCGTCATAAAGGTGCTATTTCCATGGCCGGTGGATTCCCAATGATTATGGGGTTGCTAGTTTTCGGTGTTCAGCACTTGGTGGCGAGTATAAGGTAATATATGTAATGGCCAATTAATATTACGTTTAATTAAAGCTGTTATATGTATTATGTGTCAAATATTATTGCCTCAATCCGATCTCTCTTTCATTTTTTTAGATGTACGGGTTGTGCATTGCGTAGTTGAGGGAAGTTGGGTCATATGTAACAGCATTCATAAATATTTAGTAGACGACTATTTTTATCATTGTCATGCATGCATTTAGAATAAAACTATTGCACAAAATGTTCTTTTTGCTTAATTTACACTAGCGTTAATTTCAAAGCTGAATTGTATGACTTGGTATTCAAGTCACCAAAAGTCCAAATGTTATTCCCTTTCACTTTACAAACCGTACAGTAGAGCAGTGCAAACAAATAATGTAAATTATAAGGATTTAAACATGCAAAACATGCTTCTATTGCCATGTGCGAATTGGTGAGGGGAATCCACAAATTCGGTCATGCTACCTGAAAAACCATAATTTCCGCTAGTTTATTTGTCTTACTAGTTTTAGTAGACATTTGAAGATCATGGATACCTGTTGAGCGTTTTTTTTCGGTCAAAAGCGCCACAACCTAGTCCATAATCGTCCTTTAATTTCATGGTTTACAAAATCTAACCGTTGGCAACGACCGGAGTTTTGCATCAGCTGCAGCCTGATGTTTACATTCAAATTTTAATTAATGTCTAATCGTCAATAGCAGGCTAGGGCTAGTCACTCCCTGGCGTTTCTGTACAAGACCGATTACTTAACTTCGATAGCTTGTTTACGGTTCAGTTCTTCTTTTGTGAAGATTTAATATCTGTAAATCTCAGCACTGAAGTGCTATCCTAATTTTATCATCCCATACTCTCAATAAAAGGTGCTTTTCCTGGTCTCTAATTTGTTTGGCTTGGCGGTGCTTGATATCAAACTATTGATCCAGTACGGGATAGTTTTAAAGTGGTGTAGCGTGTCTGTTAAGGAACGGTAAGTGAATATACTGTTGAAAAATCTCAAAATATATATGGCTTGCTGATTTGTTTGATCATTATATCGAAATATCGGAAACATTACACGAAAGTCATGATCCATTCTCATTATGCCGAAAGTTAAAGTTTTCTGAATTAAATAATAAACGAAAATACTATCCATCACCCGGGGTTAAGCTTAAAAAGAAAATTCAGAACAGAATGCGCTAAAAGATGCACAGTTCTCTTCCACTAAATACTTGAGAATAATCCAATCAGCAACCATCAGATTTAGTAAGCCAGCTGAACATGTATTCCACGGGCTACTTATACTTGTCCTGTCTCCGGCAATTCTGTAGATGGTTTGGGTGTAAGGTCGTCCTTCGAAGTTTGTGCGTCAGGTAGTTGGGGCATCTTGTTGTCTACAGATAACCGTGCTTCACTAATTGGCGGTGACTGGACAGCGGGGCTGCGTTTGTTCTCGCTCACCTCGTCCGGTAGTTTGTCGTTTGCTGAGAATGTTGCGGGTTGTGGGGGTTCGAATTCATCGATGACCGACTTCAGTTCTTCACTCAACGATTGTGGTAGAGGCTCCCCGGTCGACTTTGTTTCTACAGTAAACTCTGCTAAAGTGTGACTAGCGAGAGTTATCGGAGTTTCTACTGGTGTATGTAGTTCCACGGTTTCTTCTGGTGTCTGTGGAATTGGTGTTTTTAGCTCCTCGATTTTTGGTGTTTGCGTCTTAGCCACTTCTTTCGGTGCTTGTGGTATTTCACCTAGTGTCTGTAAGTTTGTGGCTTCCTTCGGGGTTTGTGGTTCCTTAGTTTCTGGTGTCTGTGGTTTTATAGTTTCTTTTGGCATCTCTAGTTTCCCGGTTTTTGGTGTATTTGGCTTAGCTACTTCCGTCTGCGCTTGCTGCTTCTCAGTCTCTAGTGTTTGTGGTCCTGCAACCGCTTTCGGTGCTTGTGGTTCTGCTTCTTTTGTAGACGCCTGTGTCTCAGTAATTGGTTGTGACTGTGTGACACTAGTGACTGGCTGTTTGCTTTCTTTAACTGGTTTCTCGGTTGGCACCTCGATTTTTTTTGGTCGAATAACCTTCTTTTCTGAAAAAATAAGAAAAGTTGTATTTCAGAGGTATAAATGTCATTTTTATTCACCAGTGTACTACTGGTCAAGACAACCGAGTTCACGCGTCAAGTATAAGTAAAAACAGATCATTAATTTTGCTGATGATAGTCTTCAAGAATTTCTCTTAAGCGTACTATGAGTGTCCGTTTTATTTTCAGTAATAGACAGACTAATGGAATAGCTATAGTCTCACCTTGAGGTGTGACTCCAACTAGTTTCCTAGCAAAACTAAGGGACGGACCCCGCAATGAGGCTACTGACAAACCAGTCGTATACTGTCGTCACATCGATGGGATATTCATTTTAGTAGACCAGAATATTATTAGAGAATTACCATTAAATCAGTCTAACAGTGTATACCTGGCAATCGATTTTCCTGACGAGTACGACAGTAAACTAAATTTCATTGACATCTCATAACGCAGACGGAGTAACGGCTCGTTAAGCAGAAGCGAAGACAGAAAGAGTTCCACCCGTTGGTATATACACTTCTATTGTTTCGCACTCATCCGTTGCTAAAGAAATCCGGTTAGATATCTTACAAGCAGACGAAAAATATCTATTCAGAGGGTACAGTAAGGGAAAAGTTCATCAATGGCACGCTGGCGGAAAAAAGCTACTGGAGAAGCTTTACAAAGCAGTGCATATATGGAAGGAAAAATAAGCTGGAACTCCTTGTTAAGATACAATTCAACGGGGATGTTGTTGATAGATTGGCGAGGGTAGTTAATATGATATTCTACTGAGCTAATCTTACATTATCAGTTGGGAGGGGGTTGGCGCGTAGTGTACCGTATATTATTGTCAAGTTTCGGACAACGCAAATCACAATAATTTTTTAGTAGGCGAGTAATGTCTTCTGAAACGAAGTATAAGTTACCTGAGTTTGTCTCTTCTACGTACAACTACAAATTCAGCTACTTTTGCGGAGATCGATATATTGGGGATACTATCAGGCAACTTGACCAACAAATGAATGAACATCTCCCAGCTTGGTTTGGAAAGGGCAAGACAAGGACAATACACAGTTCTATCATGGCACACCTGTTTGGCGGCAGTCATAGTTTCAAGTGTTCTGTCGTCTAACTCCGTCATTTCTGACGGTGTTCGATATTGTCTCCTACATAAAGCGGAAGTTGTGGTGAACCCATAACCCCATGTGCTCAGAAGGAATTCACGCCGCCCCAGTCGTTTCCTTGGCCGGATATGACGTAATAAGTGATTTCATTCATTTTTCCTCACCCCATTTTTTTCTGTTATTTCTCACCTTCCTGTTTATGTTCTCCGCTATCTAATTATTTACAAACTACATAATCTGTGTTCCTTGGTTACTTTATCTATTTATCCAAGTTTGGCCTGCTTCCTATATCGAACTATTGACTGAAACTCCCATAAATTTATAAAAATCACTGCTAGTACACCTGACATCTTGCTATCGATTTGTACTTTTGACCTATTATGTGCAGTTATCCGATCTATTTCATAGTATTCATTGACCTATAAATTGGCCTAATAGGTTTAATACTTCCGTATGTATATTCATGCATATCAGAGTAAACCTGATGACGATCTGAATATAAACAATATTTTTCTCTCATATGTGTTGTTCTGTTTTCCAATGTTATTACTTACTGTTACCTTTCGTGGAAGGGGATAGGTCACCCACCGGCATTCTCCGTCGAACTTTGTCCTGGGGAATCTTTTCCATTTGTTTCCGACTGCTATTCTTTCGATGTCTGCCTCCAATTCTCGACGCATTGTGTTCCTTTGTCTTCCTCTTCCCCTTTTCTCTTCAGGATTCCAAGTTAGAGCTTGCCTCGTGATACAGTTTTATGATTTCCGTAATGTATGTTTTACCCACTTCTAACGTCTTTTTCTAATTTCCCATTTAGCTGGAAGCTGGTTTGTTCTCTTCCACAGTAGGCTGTTGCTGATAGTATCCGGTCAACGGATCTGGTTTATCTTACATAGGCAATTGCTTATAAATACTTGTATCTTTTTGATGATGGTTGTGACTTTGATATTGGTTGACAGTTGTTTTGAGTTTCATGCGTTCTTCAAGGAATTCTGTCCTCACTTTTCTAATCCTCACATTTACGTTTGCATCAGATCCTCCTAGTTTGTCGATGACGCTGCTCAGATATGTGGAAGTTTCCATCTCTTCCAGCGTTTCTCCAGCAAGTGTGATTGGTTGGTGTTCTCCGTGTTGTATTTCAGGATATTGCTTTTTCCCTTGTGTATGTTGAGTCCTACTGATGCAGAGGCTTCTGCTACACTGACTGCTTTCACCTGCATTTGTTCGTGTGCATGGGACAGAAGGGTTCGGTCAACCTCATAGTCAAAATGGTCTAGTTGCATGCGGGCTTTCCATTGTATTCCGTGCTTTCTCTTCATAATCCAGTCGACCACTAGAAGAAAAAGAAAGGGAGAGAATAAGTAGCCTTGTCTAACACCGGCTTTCAGTTGGAATGTATCTGTCAACTGTCCTTTGCACTTTATTCCGATGTATGATCTCCTTTCACCTGTATATTGATGAGTTGTCCTTCCCAGTCCATCGGCACTTATTTTTCCTTCTAAATTTTCCTGAATAGTGTGGAGCATGTTTGCAGTTACTTCTCTGTCTGAATTCCATGCTTCAGCTGGTATATTGTCAAGTCCTGATGCTTTCCCACTCTTGATTTTCCTGATGGCTATCTTGATTTCTGCGATCGTGTGATATCTATAAGGAGGTCTCCGTGTGCTGCTTTGATGTGTTGTGGGTTTAGGGGGGCTGGTTTTTTCAAGAGTTCCTCAAAGTGTTCTGCCCATCTGTACCTCTGTTCTTGAATCTCGGTGTTTGTCTTGCCTCCTTTGTCCTTGACTGGTTTCTTTGGTTTACCATAATTCCTCGTCAGTTTCTTCGTTGTGTCATGTAGTTGTCTCATATTTCCTTCTCTTGAAGCTTCTTTTCTGTCGTTGCTCTTCTGCGTATTTCTGGTTGTCAACTTTAATGCTCCACTTCACTTGCTTGTTTGCTTCAATGTATTCAGCGTGTGCCTTGACTTTCTCTGGTATTGTTTGGCTGTTGTCAATTTCTGTCTTGTACTTACTTTCTTGAATCTTGTCCAGGGTTCTGGTAGAGACCCATTCCTTTTGATGATGCTTGCGGAGTCCCAACACCTGACACGTTGAAATTAGTGCTTCTTTGATCCCTATCCAATTTCCCTCCATAGTAATTTCTTCTTTTAGTAGATCATGTAAGGCTTGGAACCTGCTGTTGAGGGCTACCTTGAATTGGTTGTTTGTCAGTATTTCGAAGAACGTCTGCACTGAACCTTCATAATGCTGTTCCGCCAGTGTTTCTTTAGCTTCAGTTTCATCTCGGTCACAACCAGGCAGTAATCTGAAGTTATGTCAGCTCCTCTCCTGGTTCTCACGTCTCTCATTGTCCTCCTGAATTCTTTAGTGATACAGATATGATCGGTCTGGTTCTGTGTAGTGTAATCTAGCAAGACAAATGCAGCTTTGTGTGTGCGTTTGTGGGGTAATATTTTGCAACTTATAACCAATTTGTTGAATGCACATAGATTTGCGAATCTCCCACCACTCTCGTTTCTTTCTTCCAGTCAATATCGTCCCATGACATCTCTATACCCTGTGTTGTACATTCCGACCGTGGCATCTAGGTAACCTATCAGGATGGTCAGGTCATTTGCTGGGAACGTCTCTACGATTAACTGCAGTATCTCGTAAGACAGATCTTTATCGTCGTCGTTGCCATCGTTGGTGGGTGTATAATATTGAATAACATTCATTGTGATTCCTATCTTATAAGTGGATTACGTGCCTCTTTTGACAACATGAGAGCAACCCTCTGAGTGTTGGAGCATTTTCTTCTTTGTGACCAAAGTACAGCAGCATCTCTCCCGAACCTAACCTTTGTTGTCCAGCTCGGGTCCAGTGGGTTTCACTGATTCGAAAATTGTCAATTGTATCTCCTCCCGGTCCCCCACATTGTCTGGACATTCCGTGCTCCTATATTAATTGTTTCTGTGATTGCTAGAAGGGGTATCGGTCTTGTGACTTCGGAAGAATTTCGGCCTTCACCATGAAGCGTCATTATTCGTCTGAATGAAAATCCTTCAACTCGGAGGATATAGTTTAAATGGGTAGATTTGTTCATTCTGGTTAGTGTATATTCTGGCAAGGTTGTTTTCCACGAGATGGGGTTGCTAACCCCATCCTCAACCCTCCTCCTTTATCCGGACTTGATACCCTCTAGAAGTTAGATTATTTTAAATCATATTCTTACAATAATTCAATGTTGATCTATGCATTATTTCTACCTAACTCCCATTAGATTTATTTGCATTAATTTATATAGATAAATAGTTTATCAGGTGGACATTTTGTTTACTTTGGAAATACGCATAGTAATTTCTCAAAACCGACCGGATTGACCCAAATCAATTCATTGTTCATCTTTACCAAAATCTCGTTTCATAATTTTTATTCTCCCATTTCAATTTTTTGTTTTTTGGAGACCATATTCTTTACATCTAATCTTTTCTACTATTATGATGATTTTATTGTTCTCCTTGATTTGCGATTCATTCTGTTAAATTCGTCATGTTCTGATACAGTACAGTAACTAAGGTCATTGCATATTTATTTCAGGTTTTTATGAGGACTGGTCGTCATGTGTTAGAAAATACACAAAAATTAATGTCAAATTGTACAACAAAAAACATTCGTTTACAGTACAATCTACTATTACTAATTGACTTTGATAACGGTAATTAATTTCAGTCCCTATACTTATTATTCTGTTGATGATTGCTAATCCTACTAGGTAGGTTCGCACTCTGAATTAATTAAGCCTGTAAGATGGTAGAAACTAATTGTCAGATAACGTAAATAGTATATTGTCGAATATCCCATTCAGTATTTATCATGTAAATTATGGACACCTTATTAGTTAGTTTCTTGTCATTGTTATATTCTCAGTATTAATGAATGTATGGAAAATTGAATATATGTAGTTTATATACAAGATTCTATAAATTTTCACTCTGTTTAAGTTGGAATTATGTTCATAATAACGTTATTTAATTAAAATCATGGAGAAGATTTGTAGCTCACGTGGATGATTTTGATGGAGGTTTGTTTTCTGAGCTAGATGACTAGGTCGTGACCATCCAGCTCAGAGAACAAAACTCCATCAAAATCATCCACCTGAGCTACATATCTTCACCATCTCAAAATCATATGAGCGTAGTACGCTTCTGGTTGTTCGAAAATGGGAGAATTTTGCCGAAAGGTAGGCTTCCACTGGAGAACAACTGTATTTTCTCCACGAGTGTTTTCGTCAGCATGTTCCATCAACAAGTGTAAGATATAGACCTCCAATCAACTGCCCATTGGGATGGATAATAACTGAGCAAAGTGGAAGAAAAATGGTACACCTAATGATAACGGATACACATTACAGGATCCCTAAATACCAACACGTCATAGAGGACCAAAAGATGAAGCTACAAAGGACACTCACCTCATAACACTTGGAAATCTTGACAACACCCATAGAAATATCATACAAACGGCACAGAGTGCAAAGAAGAAACACCCTAAACACGACCAAACTATCCAGCTCAGTGAACAAAACTCCATCAAAATTAAAATCATCTAAATACACATGAGTCTGTGGCATTTATAATCAAATCAAATGACATTATTTGCATATTATAAGATTAGAAATTCATTCATATATTCGTACGTAATATACTAGTTAAGTGTTGAAGTTCTTGAGTTATAGTTTATCTTAATTGTTTTTTAAATGTCATATTTTACCTAGTATTAAAGTGAAATATGAGAAAAATGGAGTTTTCAGTTTTGATAAAGGCTTTTTTTTCGCAAAGAACTAAGTAAAAATTGTGTTTTTGATTGAGTATGTAGAGCTGTTAGGTCCCGATAAGCGTAATGAATGGTAACTTTAGAATCCTTTTATGGACCAATACTAGACGTTTATTCTTATCGTACAATTGTTAAATAACTAAACTATTCACATTCCTCTTATTGTAAACTTTATTTTGACCTATGAACCATTATTATACGTTTAACCATTCTTGAATTATGCCCTGTCTATTAGTCACTGCCTCCCACATTCACAGCCACATTTGGCCAAATTTTGTACAAATGTTATTTTCTATTTTATGGTACGTTGTGGTCTGTTTGATTGGTATATAAACTTAGTATGTTCGACATAAATGATTCATATCGCAGAGGCTGAGACTGGTGTTTCTGGACTTAACTGGCTGGTCTAGGCGGAAAGCAGGACCGATCAGGACTCTAGGCTGCTCGCACGTGTTTTACGCGTCCTTGGTCCGATCGATAGTTCGCTGTTTCTGATTGGTGGCTTTGGTCCATAACAGGAGCAGAAATGATCAGATTAATTTATGCAAGTCCTACTCACTACCTTCTCGTGGCAGAGGTGTTGTTTACGAGATTGTGAGGAAGAAAAGTGGATGTCCGGCGTTTTAACCGGGTTGGTGGATATAAAGGATTTACCTAGGGGAGTTGGAAAATCTAGATTCCAAACTATTGGTGCATATGGGCTCCAGTATCCTGAAAGAACAAATGGCTATGAACCACTTGTTGGTCGATGGATACCATGGGACTTCATCTCCTGACGATTCTCCACTGCCTTGTGGATCAGACCTTCAGATCGAAGGTTCTGAGTGTTGTTCCATAAGAAAACCACCTGCTTCGATCTGGACACCCGGGCAGAAGCATAGCCTACACACAAATCAAGTGACTTGTGTGGCGCATATGTATTCAGTGCCCCCATGTACCAATATTTATGCTTTCAAACAAATAAATAAAATAACTTATGCCATCACAATTCCTTGAAAAATCAATATTTTAAGTAGACCGATCATATAGGACAAATTCTTATTAAAATAGCTAACTGTGAATTATCATGACATCAAATTTCCACGAATATAAATGAATAAATGACCTGATTGTTCAGTGGCATGCGCTGAAAAATTAATTTGTAATTGTTTACAAATTCGTGCATTACCATGAGATACCTGCTTTAGGCAAAGATAATTGATGTGGATTTGTAATCCGACATCTGATTACTGATCTATAATATCAATCAGGGTAATAAAACACACTAGTGGTGATAAACATATTGAAAATTCCATTAATTAATATCTAATTTAAGAGTACAATACAGAATAGTCATTCAAATTCTGGAAATCATGCATTTATTATTATTATCCTTTAAAATAGTATACAGTATTTGAATATGTATACTTACCTATAGGTTGTGGGGTGCTTTTTTCAACTTTTGGCTCCAGTTTCGATGGCTGTTGTATAGAAGCTGGTTGTGATAGTGGTGGCGGTGTTTGATGTGCTGGCTTATTTGCAGTTAGTTTGCTCGTTGGATTTGCATCTTTCTGAGCGGGTGCTTTTTTAGCAGCAACAGCAGTATTAGTTGAAGGTGTAGTTGTTGACGATGGTTGTACGGGTGGTGAATGTGAATGGATATTTAATGTCGATGACAAAGTGTCTCGATTTCTACGGAAATAATATTCACTTGGTAATTTAAGTAGGTCAATATAATCACTGTCACACATTCCTTCACCAGTAATGGGATTTCTAAGAACTAAAAAAATAAAATTAGTTCCATAGTTTAATTAACCAAGTTGAAATAGCGAATATTATATGTGTCATGAACAATGAATTTATACTCTTTATATTTTGTGTTGAATTAGCATAGTTAATCATTTTATCTCATTTATAATAAACCTAGATGATTGTTAAAATATTTCGTTAAAGATTTTACTATATATATATATATATGTATATATATATATTGTAGGTTATTTCCATAATCGATTTTTTGTGTCAAGCATAATACTTTGTCTATTGGTAAAGTTGAATAGTGACTAGCTGGGGAGTCAAGGACAAGCGTTTCGTTCTATCCGAGACTCATCCGCTGGGTGTATCTAGATTCGAGTTTTGGTAACATACTGAGACTTAAACCCAGAACCATTATTTTTAAACACTAATGTGTTATTCTTTCAGCTGCTGAGTTCAGGTGACCACTAGCTTGTGTAACGTGTGTGATTTTGCTAGGATTTGTATTTTCTCGTCTGTTGGTGTTAGGAGCTACAATCTTTTGGTTCCTATTGAGATATGTGCATGTTGAGCGGACTTCCCTGATATTATCATTTAGTTAAAAATATTTAACAAAGTAGTGTGGTGACTAGCAGTGAGGTTCAGGAAAAGTATTTGGTCCTATTTGAGATTTATCAGCCGAATTTATATGCATCCCAGTGTTGCTGTTCACGCTGTGACTTCGTCACATCAATAATGAGAAAGTACAAACCCTTACAAATATTTGACTTAGTGCATCAAAATGGTGGTTCCCTAGCACACCACTGATGATTTACATTGTTTTAAATATATGAATGAGATTTGGTTAAATTTATTGTAGTTATGAAGTCGTTTATTAAACTTCACAATATCGTTTTCAGAAGTAACGTTGTCAGTGGTATTTTAAGACTAATTGTACTACAACTAAACACAAATTGTTGAAACTCGCTGACTAATTTTAATGTTCCAAAAACCCAGACTATGAACTCTTTTTAAAAATTAATGCCAATAATGCTTTCAAAACTGAAGAAAATATTTACTTCATACACCGTAACTTTACAAAATTGATTTCACTAATAAACATGTCTGATGATAAGTAGAAAGAGTACCACTAATTCTGTTTATGTACGAATATTTTATAATTCATTCATGTAATCAACTTCCACAATATTTCAAGTATTTAGGTGTGCAGAATGTTATTATACGTCGTTGTGAGACTTTAGATTTAACCATTTATTAGTCAAATGTTATTATGTGATTGAAAGATTATAAATCATTTGCTTAAAATGTTTCCTATTGTGTCGAGACACTGACATCAAGTGAAAATAACTAACTAGAAATAAGCAAAATTACTTAATTTCATATAAAAGAAAACTCAATCGTGTTATAGAATAGATAGATTGTGGCTTGAATTAAAACACAGGAAGGATATTTTGTTCTATTTGGAACTCGTCAACTAACAATTTACCTGTACCATAGTATTGACTTTCACAATAGGACTCGCCTCAAATTTCGAACGTATAATCTACTGAGGTACTAAGCCTTAGTTTGTCCAATGGGTATAAACTTTACTTTTAGGGGTTTGAATTATCCTTTTGTTGTAGCGACTGGTCATTTAGATGTATCTGCGACAATAATGGGATAATTCAAGCCCTCACAAAGTAGAAAAATTGTGTTAGTTTACTTGAAATATTTTTAATAACATAGTTTTGTAGCTTCAATTAACATACCCTTTCGTAATTTTCTACTCTCTGAAACTACAGACACATTGCCCATAGTCACTTCATTGAAATCTCCGATTGTCGATGTTTCATCGTTCACTCCAATTGATGATTGATCAGAAGATATATTTTTCTGTTGATGTGTAATTGGATTAGTATTCGCTGAATCGATAAATTCGAATACAGAAAATATTCATTTTATTTCAGACAATTGTTATATTATTTTGAATTAGTCGTTATACAATGTTAGGTATCAATAGAGCACAGAAAAGTGGCAACACCTTGGATTAAGCGGCGGCTTGGAATAGAATACATGTGTTAAAACCATATAATTAAAGTAAAATTTTAGAATTTATTAACCAGATTGACATTTAAACCTTGAATGTTATGCTTACTGTAATCAAGGTCAGGATTTTCAATACAAATGTCAAGACAGTTCTACTATATGGGGCAGAAACCTGGAGAACTACGAAAGCCATCATCCAGAAATTACAGGTGTTTATGAACAGTTGTCTACGCAAAATACTTCGGATCCGATGGCCGGACACTATTAGCAACAACCAACTGTGGGAAAGAACGGACCAGATCCCAGTGGAGGAAGAAATTAGGAAGAAGCGCTGGAAGTGGATAGGATACACATTGAGGAAAGCACTCAACTGCGTCACAAGACAAGCCCTCACATGGAATCCTCAAGGCCAAAGGAGAAGAGGAAGACCAAATAACACATTACGCCGAGAAATGGAGATAGACATGAGAAAAATGAACAAGAATTGGATGGAACTAGAAAAGTTTGCCTAGGACAGAGTGGGTTGGAGAATACTGTTTGGCGGCCTATGCTCCATTAGGAGTAACAGGCGTAAGTAAGTAAGTAATCATAGATGATCAGTGCTATGAAAACTCCCTATTTTCGAATATTTACAACTTACGCTTGTCTTCTCATTTCATGATGTTATTCACTTTTCTAACCTTACTTTCAATCGTCAATGACTGAAAATACCCGAATCACAGGTAATTGATAAGCACTGATAAGCTCTTTCACTATAGTCTAGGACTCCTAATCAATACACATATATAACTTCAAATAGATCAGGTGTCCGTAGACCACCTAACTGACTATTATTTGTAGTTGTGTTTCACGTTGTTACTGACTGACTGTGTTTCACGATTAACAGCCTCTAGATGGATTTATCTTGTGAGAATTTGCGACCTATGGAATTAACTCATTCACAAGTTAGGAAACATATAAATGAATTGTTTAAAGTCGAAAATGTTATACCGTGTTCAACATCAACCATGAAGGTGTTTGTTTTGATTCCAATTTAACGAATGCCACTTCAGTAATAAAAACTGAACATACTTCCAGGAACCACCTGACTGAACAATGTAAATTACTATCGTTATTTTAATTTTTGTCTGATAAACTTTCTAAGGTTTGTTAGTTACTAGCAAAATTATTCATAAAGCATTACCATCAAGGAATGATAACTGAAGCAGAAAGAAAATATTCAGGATTACTTAAATAAAATTTTATATGTTAGTCTTTACTATATTGAAACACGAAAATAGGATTTTCAACCACGGTTTTTCTCATCCCAATCCGTGTAAGTTCGAATTTACAGACCTCATATTTCTAAACAGGCTATTTATAAACTAGACTATAATACATTAATAAAACAATGACAAATTAACAGTCATCTAACTATTGAATTATCATTGATTTCATCCATGAAATAAATCCATCTAATCTTATTTTTCACTGATTGAAATCATGAGTCAATTGAAGCTAGACCACCATGGAAAACCTGGAAGCACTGGACGGCAGTTTCGTGACTAACTTCATGAGATACTCCTGGAGTTCTAGTGAGAGGCCGTCACCAGTGAAGTTCAACCAGGTCTGTTGTGAGATATCAACTCACTGAAGACAATGGTGTACGGTGGCGCAACTTCGTGGATTGGTTGAAGCTAGACATTAACACCGTTGGATGCCGGTTCAGTGGTCTAGTTGGTTAGGCGCCTGGCGCGAGACTGATAGGTCCTGGGCTCGAATCTCGCGGGGGTGCAGGATCGTAGATGCGTATTGTTGGGGAGTCCCATACTAGGACGAAACGACCGTCCAGTGCTTCCAGGGTTTCCATGTTCGTCTAGCTTCATTGACTCATGATTTCAATCAGTAAAATTTCTAGAATCTCCACAAAACCCCTTCTGATAATCTTATTTTGACTAAGTAATTGTTCATATTCTAAGTTCAGTTAACAAATCAAGCATTCATTGAGTCCTTTTCTCTTTTTTTTTCACACAAAATAATTATTTACTGGATAAGGATAAAATCATCAAAATAAAGAGAAACCACCAACTTGGAAGTTTATACGAGATAAAATATAATTCTTATTCATATTTGTCTCTATGTCTTGATTATAGTTCATGTTATTGAAGCCAATGTAAGTTCAAGGTTAGTCAGAGTATACAGATCGATTTACCAATATACCATTGTTTACAAATTCATTTTATTTCGTTTTTAATATAATGTGATAATTCCAGCCAACTATGTTTTTCATATTCACCATACAAATGATGATCAATGAATGGTTTTTCATATTTTATGTTTACTTCTCTAGACTGTATTTTTTAATTAGTTCGTTATGCCTAATTGGTTTGAACTTATCAATTAGATTTCATAGTATACAACACAGATTGATCTTAATTAAATAACCATTGAAAACCATGAAACACTGGAAAGTTAATTCGTTTTAGTATGGATCTCCTTAGCGATGTACATCTACGACTCCACCGGGTATCTAACTGAAACTTTTCGAATTTGCGTCAAACTCTTAGCATTCAAACGTTTGAGTCATCAATGATTAATTGTTTTAAATGTTAATAAAATTAAAGTAGTGCTTTTAATTAGCGTTAATTTTGTCGATACTGACGTTCTATTTAAATTTCTCAGTAGATATTTGTTCATAGTATGAAGCTGTGAGTTATTCGTTAAATCACTCGATTTTCATTTAACAGGTATTAGGGTTGAACCTCTCCCCAGTGGCACCACTATTTGTTGCATAGACAACTAAGTAAACAGTATCTGTACTTGATAAATGAGCTAAAATATCTGTTAATAATGAGATTTAAGAATTATTTACAATTCAACCGATGTATTATTTGTATGCCTGTTTGACGAATAATGCGGAAAAAGAAGACTAATTCAGTCCATAATTGATTCAATTTAAATTTGATATTATTATACATAATGGCTATGAATAGTCTTGACATATAATAATAGAACTCATACAGCGGTTATAGTCACTAGTACTAACTCCCAGTGAATCTACATCTACAGATTTATAATAATTACCTTTAAACAAAATATAATCAGTATGATATCTAGTCTGTTTAAGCAATGGTCACATGGAGACTTTGTCGATAGAATTCGATTATCACTAAGTCACCATTTAAGGATCAATGAATAAGAATGGTAGAATGAAATATTATAAAGATTGATTTAAATAATATGATATGTGAAAATTTTAGTTTAACCCATTTTTGATGGGTTATCATGGTTTAAAATGTTTGTTAATAGATAAACAAAAGTTAGTGTTTTAAGTGTATATTTATACTAAAATGACTTGGTTAATACAATATATTAATATAATTAAGATAAGGTGGGATAAAATACAAAGACATGTATGTACAATTACAGATATATATATATATATATATATATATATATATATATATATATCACAAGGGTTAAGGCATTAACAGATTATATTTTTCTCTAATTAGAGGTACTTGGTAGTTCTCCACTTATCGTTTTAGTCAGTTAGGAATTAAGGTGATCATAAGAATCTATTTGTTTTCTAGAGTAATACTTTTTTTGTAATTCACGTTTACTTGGTTTGTGAAATTATGATTTCGGACAAGTCACGTAAACTGAATTAAACACCTTTTTCACTAGAGTGTCATAGTTAAAAAAATAGGTAGTTCTTGATTATTGAACGTATGTGTTTAATTAACATTTACATTCATACATAAATTTATGGTTATGCAGTCACTAGATATGCAATCTACACAGTTCATCACTGAAAGTAGTGAACGTTTGTCGATAATTGAGACCGCAAACCGATTAAATTTAGATAGCCATTAAAAACAAGGAAGACCTGGTGTAGGACTCTTCTGAAGTGTTCATCCATGACTCTATCACGGATCAAACCCGGAACCTTCAGGTCTCGTGGGGAGAGCTTAAAATTAGGATCACTGAACCGGGATCTAATAGTTTTCATATCTAACTGCAATCAATTCTGAACATTATTGCGAGACTTGAAGGTCCTGGGTCTGGTCCATGGTGCGGTCTTGCATGTGCATTGGTAGGTTCCATATTGGAATGAAACAAATGTTTAGTGTTTCCTGGTTTTCGATTGAGTTGACACGTCCATAATTAGTGTTTGATAGTTTAAGTTTCTACCAAGAACTGCACTATTTAGTAAGAAACAACCTAAGAGTTTCTTTTTATACGTTTATTTATTCATTTCTTACTTCCATTTGTGACTTTACATAAAATACAAATGAAAGCTGAATACACAAAAGTGTACTTTATAAATGAATTACATTAAAAATCAATTTGTCTACGTAATGCACTTCAGGATGATAAAAGTTTTACTGAAACTAGATTAGTTTTGTATATGGTACACTTATTAATGATCTAATTGAATTGTATAATAACTTTATAACTAATCATTTGTGGATCAGTTTTCTGACTTTTTATTGATTTACAGTTTGTAACAATAAATATTTCTGTTATCTTTGAGGTCACTCTTCTGTTTTCTGGTAAAGAATTTTAATGATAACTATGGTGATAATCATTCGTTTGATTACAATTTTTTTAATTTTTATACTAACCAAAATGAAATTGATTTCTAGTCATTATAATCATTACAAATTGTCGAGATGTATCGCTTAAAATGTTTTAAATGATAAAATGATAAGGACCCTAATGTCTGTTGGTGATTGTGATTTAACATTCTTACTTAGTTGTTCGATTTTCTATGGATACAGAAGCAGTAAATATGTGATATTTGTTATATCACTAGTTAAATGCAGTTAAAAAGTATATACCACTGGGTTCTAACTTAGAGTTAGTGATGATTATTTTTTGGATCACTTATTAATTGATGAATGCACATTCATAAGAAATTTAAAACCAAGATGACAAAACAGTTCACTGCTGTCTAGTTTTCTCTGGTCCCCAAGCTTATGTTAGTCTGTAATGGAAGACAGCTTTAAAAATGTTTTGAACTAGAATCCTCTGGTCTCCTTTTCTAGATGACCCATCATACATGGTTGTTAATTAGATCTTACGTCAACTTTAGTGTATAAACCTGGTCGTTAATGAAATCTTGTCCTAAGGAATATAATGATCACGTAATGTTATTTCAGTGATCTGGCTCATGAAAGGTAGAACAAAACTTGAGTAGTAGCGTGTATATATATATATATATATATCAAAGGGGTTTTGTGGAGATTCTAGAAATTTCACTGATTGAAATCATGAGTTAGTTGGAGCTAGACCACCATGGAAAACCTGGAAGCACTGGACGGTCGTTTCGTCCCAGTATGGAACTCATCGGCAGTGCACATCTACGATCCCTCCCCCTGTGAGGTTCGAACCCAGGACCTGTATATATATGACCTATTACACATGGGGTAATCCTGGGAATAATACACTAGTCAACAGCTATTAACTGATATTGTAATAGTAGAGAATAAACAGAAGGTTGAGTTAATGATTTTATTCACTAAAAGAAATCCGGACTGATGAATTCACAAGCGAACTATTTTTCAAAAAGTGCCTTTTTATCGGCATAACAGAGGCATCTTAAAATAATTTTTAGATTACTCCTAAGATATGTGAATGTTCCACATAAAAACATGTTAGTTTAATTTTTATGGAGATTTTAATTTAAGCTAATTGTTTAGTATGATAGTTGGAATTATTTAAATCCATACTACTCATAATGGAAAATTAGCATATTTGTTAATTGACAACAGTTTCTCAAAAGATAAGAAAAAACAACTCGGAAAATGATCAACTGACGAAGTTAGAAATAAATAATCTTTCTACATAAGTTTGATGTCACTAGTGAAACTTTTCTCATTCTGTAGGAAACAATGCGAAAGTTGGCTTGTTTTACAAACTTCTTATGATGTCTATTTAAATAATTATTATAAATGATGATTAGGAAATGCACCAAAAAGCAAATTTATTTTTACTTGGAGTATATAACAGGAAAAAAATGTATATATATATATGCTGGAAGTACTTAGTGGTGATTTTCACTATTTTTCAAGGGTGAATATCATAGTTAATTGATTGAATTGAACATTTATTCAAGTAAACATTCGGATTTTAAACAGAACTGGTTAACTAAATATGAGAGCTTTTGCAAGGCAAAGATGAAATACTGACATTGGCTTTTTGGTTAGCTCTAGTTCTGAACTGAATTTCTTAAACAAACCTCTAAGGGTATTGAATTTAGATATTGAGGCAGTGCATGTTGGTTGGGGACGATGCTGCTGCCGATGAGGATTAATTGATAATCGATGAGTCACAGGATCTATAGAAAATAGTAAATTGTAGTTTATATAAAAGTTTAAAATCAATGTAATACTTGAAGATAACCTGATAGTTCGTTAAGCATATTGCTTAAAAATATACAGAAATAGTGATTGTAATATCCAGTCAAGTTATAATTAAAAGTTGTCTGTTTTAGACAATTTTACGTTACAAGTTTTCAGTATTAATAAGATACAAGCTAGTTTCTTTTATTTGAAAATAAGTTTTGGATACACGCAATCACCTAAGAACTCACTTTCTTCCTAATGTATATACACTCTGATGCACTCAAATAGTTCAGGGATAACATCTCTGACTATAACTATAGGAGGGGATTAGACTCAAATTCTACTGGTGAACATCAGTTTCCTCTAGAGTGCAGTTACACATTGATGACGAGTGCAGACCAACACGAAACTTACTATTAAAGCTTTTCTCAAATGACCTCTGAATCATCAATATCAATAAAATTGGTTTACACGACATCAGGTTTCAAAGAATTTTGAAGGAATAATTTTTCGTCAAGATTCTTCTTATTTAATTGTAAGTGCTTGAAGACAAATGAAAGAATCCTCAGGAGTTGTATACCAAGCTATTTGACAAATTTTAGCAAGGTGTATCAATAATCCTGAAGAGATTAAGCCACCCCTGATGTATCTATACTAGTGTTATCGAGTGTTTTAGATAGGGTTGGTAATATTAAACTATTCACCTTGCAAATATACCTTTCAAATGGGTGTTATTTACTCCAAAATCTAATTTTACATTTCCTTATCGATTGATTGTAACTGTCAAATATTGAAATACTTTCTTTCGATTAGCAAAAAGAGTACGAAAATCAACCACTTTCTATGAGCTTAAAGTCTATAATTGATATGAGTTTAATACTGTTTGGTTATATAAAAATTCCCCTACTTATTATTATTACTTACATTTAAATAGGTTGGCAATGATTCTTTTTGAAGATAAACAAGTTGTAAAATAGGGTTACGTAATAATGAAATTTTACATGAAACATACTTTTATTGCTTGAAAAATGTTTCATTCCTCGAACTTTATCCGTCTTATATGATGTACCAGTTCTGTGCATATAACCAATTGGATCATGAGTAGCTGAAATGTATTTAAACATTTATCATGTTAAGATGAAAGAACAAACATAATGTAAAATAATTAACAACTGGTAACTGACTTCTGTACCTGTTTATCATTAGTTATTTCTTCTGTCTCAATAGTAAGTGTTCAACACCTAGATTACGTAAAGGAAGCAGCTAACGAGTGATAACTGGTGTGTTTATTTGGTTCTAAGAGTTGACCATAGATCCTCGCATCAAAGAACTCATATGAAGTTATGTTATGGTATATCATAATGGATTACTTCAGTCGCTAAGTGTATGAGGGGAGTTGTCAAATGTCTCTGAACCTTATTCTCAAACTGTTTAAGATTAATGATTAATTTAAACTATATCACGCTACGTTTTTGAATCTTCATACCAGAAAGATTAATAAAGAATATAAGAGAACAAACTGGATTTATACCTTATAACTTGTGGTTGTATTCAATAAATGTATTCACTAATGTTTGGAAACTATGTACGACTCCTACTTACGGGTAGAGTACTTTTCATCATACTTCGTCTTGTGCTAAATATTTGTTTATTACATAAGCGTCTATTATTTACTACACCACATCTGTCTAGGGCATTCTACTGAGAAACAAAGTAAGAACGACATTATTTGCAAAATACAATGAATTCATTGTGTTTAAAGTAGTTATAAAAAACCTTGTTTTAAAACTCAACCTCTGTTACACTACATACAACTTATGGATTATCACTTGAATTTTAACATTATATTACTAGATGAAGATAACTAGAAGTATTAGATTGTATATAATTGAAGAGAAATCAACGAAACATAGTATACCAATCAGTGAATTGGAAGTGAAGTGTACTGACCAAGTAGCGAAAAGGAGTAAGTCAGTAAATAAAATAAAGTATTCTGGAATTTTCTTCTACTTCATTTATGTGACAACGACAGAATGCTCGTAAAAGATCCTTCTTAGAGTTATAGTAATATCAATGAGAAATTTAGGGCAGAAGAAAGTTCATATTTTTATTGGTTCATCTTGTCGATTGTCGATCAACTAATTCTAAACTGAAAGAAAATTTTATTGACAAACATAAATGGGTGTCATCTTTCTCTAAATTATATTATGTGTTCCATCATGTTAGGACTTGTATTTTAGATAATTAAATAAATTTGGAACATTCACTCAATGTGTATTTTGTTATTTAACGGGTCAAGTATAAAATGAGACCAAATGTTATCTATTAGAAATTAGAATCAATTTACTGTAATGTAGGCTTATTGATTTTTATCAAAACGATTTGGGAGAGGAGAATTGAGACATGGTGGGTTTTTATTACGTACCATGTACAAAGAAATCAAATTCACTTCTTAGATACTGTAATTACATAGTCTCATGGTGTGGGTGTATACTAATGAAATAGGATATAATTTCTGATTGCCTTTCTTGTTTTTGGTGAGCTTAGACTGTATCAATGATTTTTATCAAAGATTGTTACGAAAACAGCTCTACTATGTGAGAAGGACTCAAACAATATGGTAGGATGAAATGACATAGTTTATTTAGAATGACTTGAAATATTATTTAGTAAGCGGAAGTTAATGTGCAATATTTTGTTCATAAGCTCATTAATGCATCTGCAAAACATGTAGATATTATCAACTATGTCTTGAAAACGATCTGAAACTAAATCTAAAAGGTCCTTTGGACACTTTACGCATTGCTTAAGGCGTTTACTTATCTAAATACCGAGGCATTTGTGGCATTGAATACTATATTTGTTCACCTATAACTTGAATCCTGGGCAAAATCATAAACTATTCATTAAAAGTAAAATGATATATGAAAACGACTCAAAATACTGTAACCGAATCGATTTTAGTAGTCAGTTAATCATTTCGTAATCCAGCATATTTTATATAGTTCATTAATAAAGCATCCATATAAAATAATTAAAATGTCCCGTCTTAATTTGTAAACCTTACCCCATGCTTCTTTATAATGTCGTACTGATTGAGATCGAACTAGTTTTGTTTCTGGCAGTGAATGAGTTATCGGATCTGTAGCAACTATGAATAAAAAAGAATAAGTATCATTCATCTATGAAATTCTAAGGAAATAAAGTAAAAGACAGGATTTTAAAGAAAAATTGCCGATAAACAAAATGATTTAAAACCTATCCCAATAGGAACAAAATTGAAATATGCGCAATGTTCTAGTAAATGAAAATTATCAAAGGACAATAATTGATTTACATTCAAAGATATAACTGTACTACTTTTTGATTAGTGAGTAGTATGGTCAAATAACGGCATTTTAGTTTCACATTGTAAAAATTCTTCCAGTATCGATAAATTTACGTTATTTCATTTAACAAACTTCTTGTAAAACGAAATATATGCCTTGCAAACTTCTAGGTTATGACTGTTATATCGATGCTTATATGTTGGCCACCATTATTATCATTATGCATTTTCTGAGAACCTGGATATTGTCATTTAGATATTGAATAATTAAGTATCCGTAAACAAATATTACAGTAATCTATCGAAATCGATACATTTCTCCCCCCAAAAATATATAGATTAAACTTCAAATATTATCATGAAATAACGGGGAGGAAACTATGATAGAGTTTTATATTATAGATTATTAATTATTATTTCAAGTCGAACTTTTATCACAGATTGAAACTATAGAAATTTAGAGGAAAGTGAATAGTTATCTTGTCCTATTTATGAACCGATAACTTTAAACATGTCAGAATTCACAATGTATTCTTTCTTAAGTTAATGTGAATTTTCAGGATATATAAATGTAGTTGTATGGTTAATAGTTCAATTTTTAGAGATCTTTTCAACCAGGTCTGTTGTGAGATAGTAACTTATTGAAGACAATCATCAATGTGTCGCTCAATTTCGTGGATTGGTTGAAGTTGGACATTAACGCCGTTGGATGCCGGCTCAGTGGTCTAGTGGTTAAGAGTCTGCGCGCGAGACTGATATTCCCTGGGTTCGAATCTCACGAGGCGGAATCGTGAATGCGCACTACTGTGGAGTCACACAATAGGACGAAACGGCCGTCCAGTGATTTCAGGTTTTCCATGGTGGTCTAGCTTTAATTGAATCATGATCTCAACTATTAAAATTACTACAATCTCTAACTAAAACCCTTCTGATAGGAATAATATATGTTATTCATTTATCTTATGGATTATTATTATTTTTAGCTGTTTTGTCTATTTGAATAAAAGGTGATTTTTACACTACTATGAATTCCACAGAAATATAAGGTCCATTGTATAAAAGACATTAGATAAATGACTCAGAAAACAATAATATTTGAACATGACTGAATGATAGTTTCATACAGATTTCATTTATCTGTGGTCATTTAACTTTGAACTGTTTACTTGAAGAAGTACGAAGTAGATTGGTAAAGTTAATGAATTTCAATTCATGAGAATTTTACAAGCATAAACACTATATTAGTCAATTGAAATAATGAAATAAACAAAGAATACTTGAAAGGTAAAGGAATCATTAATCAGGTATGTGATTTATCGGATTAATGAATGAAAACAGAGGAAGTCAAGGAGTAGATGGATTTTATAGTATTGAGAAATCAATGATATGGATTTGGTTACTGTTAACCACAAAGCTAAATTTAATTAGTTGAGTAGATGATAAGTTTATATATAAAGAAAGTGAAAATAAGGATACAAAACAAAATATGTTGTGTTATTTCATATAAGTTTGTTTACATTTTTAGTCTTTTTAATTGTTCTTCACATTTGTAGTTTTTTTCATTGTCTTAATTGATAGTATGGTGTGTACTACTGGTTTCGACAGAGATAAGTAATATGTATAACCAATCGAAAATGAAATACCTGGAGCCAGGAGGTTGGGAAAATTGAAGAGAAGAGAACGAAGGAAGAGAGTGATTAGTATAGAAATGAAGGAACAATAAACTTTGAGACAGTTAATGGATATTTTGCAAATTAAGTATTTACTGTATGGTTCTCGGATTTTACCAAGTTGTTGTTTTCAGTTTATTGAAATTTCAAATTTTTAGGTCTACTTTTTTTAAATTAACTTACGATAAGAATATCTTTTTGAATTTTCTTCGTTACATTGTCTTTCATTATACTGATTTGCTGAATTGTTTTCTACATTATATTCGCATCTACCACTGATAGAATCAGACCTTGCTGAAGAAAAAACAAAAGACAAATAACAAGATTCATTTTTCAATTACAACTGTCAAAATATCATAGAAAGTATGTGTTTGCACTAGAAAACTCGAGCATAGGCTTTGTCTGATGTTGTTAAAAGCATTCATCAAAGAACCATGAACCTAGACTTCATATTAACTGGGACTCGTCATTAAGATATATTTGAGATCTTGTGAAAAATCATTTTGTCACATCCATTTGAACCATTGACTGATATATCTAAAAATTATAGTTTACACTGATGAATTCTGTTACATAATTAAGGTCATCAAATTTCAGGAATCTTAAATTACTTGTCACAAACATATTATAATATTTCTCTGTATTGATTAAAAGAAACGCGCTTTGTATGCTTGTATTCATTTATAACAATTGTACTCATTTATGATTGTTGAATAATAAAATATAATCGATTTTTTTTTAATTTATCGAACAGTACATAACTGATCGGAAAAAATAGACTCAGTGACATTAGGAAATATTGTTGAACATTGTGAATGAGCTAGTTTTACTATGATCACTCAAATTGATTTTGTGTAAAAATACTTAATTGTGAGATATCTTAGATACTGGTAATTTTAAAACTGTGAATAATCTGTTAATCTTTTCAGATAAACTAAATGAATTCAGAAGGTTTAAATAAAATAGTTCATGAAGAAGGATATTTGTAAGTATATAGTTGTGGAATGTTTAGATTACCAAGATGAAATAAAGAAAACCTATGTACCATTATGCTATCTATATTATTCTGTAATATATATATATATATATATATATATATATATATATATATATATATATATATATATATATATATATATATATATATATAATGTTTAAAGTATTTTTGGAAAATTATGGTGGAAACTATGGACTTACAAACATGTATGTTATGATCAATTTTATTTCTTGGCCTACCACCATGTGGTCTTAACATGTCTACTTCCTCACCTAAATCTCCTTGAAGTGTTATTGGATCACGGTCTATCAATTGGGCAATGAAAGAAGAATGAAAATATAGTGTAACATAGAAAAAAAGAATAGTAAATTATAAATGTTTGTCATTGATTTAATCAGCTAAACTAATTGGAAATACTTAAAAAGAACAAGTAATTAAGTAGAAGTTAACGTTACAATACCGATGGTTCTATTTATATGCATATATTTACTAAATAAAATACTAATGTAATTCAATGTTTTATCTTGTATGATTTCTATGTGATCACTGATGGTTGCTTAGTTATTTCTTCTATGCTTTACAATATTTCACTTTTGTTTTAATGTTCATTACGATGATTAGTTGAGTTTTTCATTAATAATTATGTAGTAGTAAAATCTTGACTATTTTAAGTATAAATCTATATCTCTATCTGTGTCATTGGTAATGAAGTCAAACAAATCTACAATGTGATTAGATGGTGGTTAGAGGTAGTCGACAGGAAACCCTGGACCCGGGTTTCGTGCTACTTGGCACTCGTCAGCAAGTTGTACCTGTAATCTTGAGGGAACTGGTGCTCTCCGACGGATTCGATCTCGTGTCACCCAGCTTCACAGTCAGAGACGTCCAAGCCGCGACCGACCTTCTGTAGGACTGAGATGAGAGCACCAGTTCCCTCAAGATTACAGGTACACCTTGCTGACGAGTGTCAAGTAGCACGAAACCCGGGTCCACGGTTTCCTGTTGACTACCTCCAACCACCATCTAATCTCAATATATAGTGCCCGCAATGTCGAGTCACATAGACTGGTGGCCACACTGCAACATGGTTGATAGCATTCGACCTGCACTAATAAGGACTAGACACACATGACATTAATCGCCACCCAGTTATCAATCAATTATGATTAAATCTACAATGTAAAACATTGTATATGAATTTTTCGACGACCTAGTTAGATGTTAGATTATTGTCAGTGCTTAGAAAAAGTCAACATTGCAGAGAACATTCTTTACATAATAATAACACATAGAAAAATGTTTGTAAAACACTCAGAGATTAGAATTAAAATGAATCAAAAATTTCTCTAAAAAAATTCCAGTTCAAGTTTCTTCAAGGGAAATAATCAAGCATTAACATGTTTGGCCAAAAAAGTGTCAACCAAATAAATTGTTATGACTTTCTGGGTTTATTGAATTGTCAATGTTAAGTAAATAGCAAGTAGTTTTAGCATGATTGTTTAAAGCTAGATTACAATTTACTATGAATTTTTTTAAGAGATTAGTTCAGTCCAAGGATAGCTTTTTATAGCTAAATGACATATTGCGGGATAATTCCTCTAACATTGTGACTGTAAATATATGTAATCCCTATCGAAATATTGAAGATTTGTGTTAATGATGACAACTAGACGATACTAGGCCAGAATCAAGTGATGCACTTCTGCAAATTCATCTCATTCGTAATATTGTAAGATCTTCGTCTAATTTCAATCTATTATCAGAAACCATCTTAAAACAATACAGATTTCAATAAAACACCTAAATAGATAATAACTGTACGCTATTTATTAAATGCGCGTAGGAAGAAATGAGGAAGAAGCGCTGGAAGTGGATAGGACGCACATTGAGGAAATCACACAACTACGTCACAAGACAAGCCCTCACATGGAATCCTCAAGGCCAAAGGAAAAGAGAAAGACCAAAGAACACATTACGCCGAGAAGTGGAGATAGACATGAGAAAAATGAACAAGAATTGGATGTAATTAGAAAAGAGGGCCCAGGACAGAGTGGGCTGGAGAATGCTGGTCGGCGGCCTATTCTCCATTAGGAGTAATAGGCGTAAGTAAGTAAGTAAATAATTATTAAACGCCGTCGACATACATTTCTCGAAATCCTAATCAAGCCAACCAAACTGAATTTAACACATTAAATGATTATATCGATTGAAGATTACATTTGAGTATAGAATCGTAATATTCTGTAAACGTTAGAACTTAATGTATTTTGTGAAATTTTATCCAGTTTTTTCCTTAACAAGTACAATTATTTTCATAGTTATATTTGATATATAGATCCCTTTTTTTTTATTAAAAAAATCATATACATATGGTTGGTTGAACTAATTCATAGCTTTTCATAGGTATTCATTACCTTGAGTATAATCTTCATGATTATGATTATTATTATTATCATAATTAACATCACTGTGTTTATTTTCATTTTTGTTATTCAAATGATCCACATAAAAGTACCCATTTGAATAGTTTGTATCTGTAGTATCTAAAAAAGTATTATTATTTATGCTAAGGATAAGTAAAAATAATCAATACTGGGAATATATATATATATATATATATAGATGATGAATAAATAAATTGATAATTATGATAATAATCGATTTTAATGTAATTTATGTTGTCAGGTAAGTATTGATATGCTCAATCACTTTATTGATTACGAGGGATTTGAATACCTAGCTACAATATCTTGTTTTAGACATGTGTTTTTAACATTTTATGATCAGTATTTTAATGACGAAAATCAATGTTAAAACTTTTCTGTCAATTGTTCTTTATTATCATTATTCATAATGTTCCATTGTTTGTTTATTTTTTTCAGATTTATTCTCATACTTATTCATAACTAAGAGGACATTCTGTATTTGAAATAAATAACAAAAATTATATATCAGTTTAGGGGTTGTGAAGATTGTTAAGTTTTTGATTGAAGTCATGAGTCGGTGGTTTAGCTGGTTAAGCGCTTGGCACGAGACTGACAGGTGCTAGGTTCGAATCCCGCGGGGTACGGGATCGTGGATGCTCACTGCTGAGGAGTCCCATACTATGACAAAACGGCCGTCCAGTACTCCCAGGTTTTCCATGTTCGTCTAGCTTCAACTGACTCATGATTTCAATCAAAAAATTATACACAAGAACTAATGTAATGATTTGAGTATTAGATGATTGGAGGTAGTAGAAAATAGCGGTCATTATTATGGTGTATCTATTGTTGTGCTTTATGCTACTTATATCGACATGAGTAGTATGTAACGATAGTCAACATTAGAATGTTTGGTAGCAGAAGATCGAGAAGGAAGGAATGGCAACAAAAAGCAATTGATATGAAAATGCAGGAACAATAAATTATGGGATGATCAATTGACATTTTGTAAATGAAGTATTTAGTGTATGATTCTTAGATTTTACTAACATGTTCAACCTTGTCATTAAATACATTTGATTGTACCCACTTGTGTTCTAGTTTACTACATTGTTATGAGTAAATTGATATTTCTCATGTCGTTTGAATTCAATTTATCCAGTGTTAATATTGAGCTATTGAAGCTGTGATCGATTTTGCAGTGAGACTATAATTTATAGACTTTTGAGAGGCGCTTGACTGACTTTGATAGTGTCCACCTGATAACTAGAACCAAATGAGTGTTATGAACCTGTGTGAGGAATTATAATTATAATTTACAGTTGATGATTAAGCTAAGGAATTAAATTTCCGGTTTTCATCACGAACTAATATCAGCTATAATGCCAAAACTCTGTTAATCTAAATGGATGAGTGAATTTCGTGCCGAAATCCGAGACCTGTTATCTTATACGTGATTGGTTCGTCCATTGAAATGTTTTGAACTAATTATTCAAGACTCAATAATCAATATCTTATTGAATTTTATCGAGCAAGTTGTAATTTGATTAAATAGTTTATTATTTTCTAGAAAATTATAGAAAATCATTTATATTTATTATAGCTTAATGTCCAAATATAAAATTCATAAACGTCGCCTGGAGCCCCTCTGGCGCTTCTGCAGGTCCAAAGCCCGGATAAAGGAGGAGGGTTGGGCATGAGATTGGTGACCCCATCCCGTAGAAAACTAACTCGCTAATAAAAACGCTAACAAGTGAGTAAGTAGATAAATAAAATGCATAAGTGAATTAGTTATTTTGTTACTATTATTATCAATAACTGATTACAGAGTATATATGGTGATGGCAATCATTTATATGACTTTATTTGTTACTAAGAATTAAATGAACCAATTAAGTAGAACAACATAGTCAAACATTGAATAATATTAAAAATTAGATATTACTTTATATCCATTACATAATACTATTATACATATATGAAAATAAACAGTAGAATTCTTGTTTGAACTCACTAACACGATCTTTACATGTGAGCTCTTTAGTAGTATACAAACAATTGTATTCAGTACCCATATCACCTTCCATTCGAATTGGATCACGATGAGGAAAGTCTGTATTAATGTTTGAGAGATATGTAGATAGTATAAATATAAAAAAAGATGGTATTTAATGATAGAATTGTTATGCATTGTTGCACTAATTATTACTTTCAAACCATCGCTTATCTGTTCTATACTACACCAAGGTATTTTTCTGACCAATTATTATTAAGACTAGAAAACGTGAATGAAAAACCTGGAAGGTTTTCTATAATGGTCTAGCTTTAATGAACTCATGAATCCAACTGTTAGATTATTACAATCCCGTCAAAACCCCCTTTCTGTCAATGGATTTGACAATTGACTAATGAATAAATTGAGATTTGATGTTTAGTATCTTTGTTATATCTCCTAAATATTTTCTCGAGACATGAATTTTCAAATCAAAATTCCTAACTAATTGGTCTTTTCCGAAATTTTATGAGTGTAATAATTTCACCGTCATCAATAATTAGATTGGCTATTAAAATGAGTTTCATTATCTGGAACGAACTTTGTTATCATAGAACATACGCTACAGGTTAACCATTTGAATTCTGATGTTAAGTATTAAAATGTTTTCCATTCGCACAGTTTCCAATGACTTTTTAATGAAATTCCTTTTAAATGTAATGTAAATGTTTCAACGAATCAAATCAGTGTATTCAATGTTGATGTAATATATGTTTAGAGGTATAGTATGTTTTGAAAAAAAGGTGCCCATGATATCGAGTTACTTATCTTAGTAGCCAAGCTACAACTTGATCGACAGATTTCTATCAGCACTAAATGAATAGGCAACTATGACATTGATCACTACTCGGTGATCAATTAATTGTAAATGTTGACTTCACTTACTTTTCAATGTACTATGGATTAGTAATTTAGGTGTATGTGGATAAATGTTATCTAGTAATAAAACGGAATGGGTTGCGTTAGACCAATATGAGTCATTTAATCATATGCAGCGTAATCTCTAAAAGCTAGTATCTATCGGTTTTGTACTTATATAACAATGGGTTGCCGACTAAACAACTAAAGTGAAATTGGAGCGAAGTTGGATTTTCTGGTTGAAAATATTATGATCCAATGAAATGATTGGTTCTAAATCACTTTGTTCAGATATGATTTTCAGTTGAATTTATCATCAACTTTATTTACTGTAATATGTGAATCTCGTCGCGATCACTATAGTTCTGCTAATTTGAAACTATCGATAATGCTTCCAAATAAGCAAGAATTGAAGCTAGAATTTAGTCGCTAATTTTTGTTAGTTTGCGTCAGCATGGAAACATTTTGTATGTATTCGAATAGCGTGAATGAATTTAAACTTACGAGTAAATGAGCCCTATCAATAATGGTCTCATCCCTTAGTAGATACTCATTAAATAAAAGGTCATTGCCGTGTTATATAACTAAGTTTATAGAGTTTGATCTAGACTGAAATCTTCTTTTAATGGTGTCGACTACAAAGCTACAAGGAGGGTATATGACTTTATATCAATCTCTGATACATTATGTAATATTAGGTTCAACTATACTAAGCCTAAATGTTTCTTTCCTATTCATAAAATACTTTATTTATAATGCGAAAAATTAGATTATGTACTGTTTTTTGTGATTTGGAAAGTTCTCACTATTGTTTTGATGAACAATTGTAGCTCCTTAAGAAAAATATCCAAACTTAACATTTGGTACTCTATTAATCATAAAAATAGTAGGAATGTAAGAGCAACGGTACTTGTGTAGATAGGTGAGAAGTAGTCTCTAATAGTTTGCAGATGGTAATATCCATCACTTCAAATAATTACATTTTATAGATGGAACTTCATAGCTCAATGAAATATATTTTCAACTACAGGGTGAGATAAACCTGTGATTGTAGCCATGTCATATAATTTAGGATGGTCAATATTAAGATATTTCAACTTGCTCTTCCTCTTATCGTAAAGCCGTTTGTGTTTCAGTCGAATTGTCACATTTTAATTCGATGAAAATCAATACTCTCTAAATTATATTCATGCAAGACGGAGATAGAATACTTAAGTCATACTAACGGTTTGGTTTATGTGTGAACCACAAAAACATACCTAAGGGTAATAGTTATTAAATTATTTTGTGCAGTTTATTTCAGATAGTTTATTTGATAAAAGCAGTAAGACCAATATTGAGAGAAATGTTGTTGTTTGTTATTCTCCCTTGTTTAGTTTCGGGAACGGTATTTGATAAACCTCTAACAGCCTAGATGCATTATGAGAGAATTCATCAATATACTCTGTAGTTACTAGTCTCAAATTACTTATGGTCCGCGGCTAACGGTGCAGTCCTTGCAGCTCGTGTTCTCATATTTCGAATTAGCCAGTTGAATGTACTTGCATCCCAGTGTTTGTTATTAATAATTATTAATGGTATTATTAGAGTTTATACTAACAGAAGGGGTTTGTGGAGATTTTTTAGAAATTTTCACAGATTGAAATCATGAGTCAGTTGAAGCTAGACCACCATTGAAAACCTGGAAGCACTGGGTTCGAGCCCCGCGTGGTGCGGGATCGTGGATGCGCACTGCTGAGGAGTCCCATACTAGGGCGAAACGGCCGTCCAGTGCTTCCAGGTTTTCAATGGTGGTCTAGCTTCAACTGACTCATGATTTCAGTCTGTGAAAATTTATACTAACACACAAAAACAGTATCTAGCACCAACACATTATCCACTAGGTTACTAAATTCAAATGGTTGCTAACTTGTGCAACCAGTATAAAAATTGGTCCTTAGTGTTTGCGTTATGATTATATTTATGTTTGGATTTCGATCGATTTCTGAACTGTTTATCGAATATAATATCATATTTCTGTCTTCTTACACTGAAATGATGTTACAAAAGGGTATAGCTATAAGGTGTTTGGTTTGTTTTTTAAACTAACTTTCCAGTTTGTCGAAGAACTAACCCTTTTGTATTCAAAAGTTGTTGTTTCATTTGTATAAAACAGTCGTCTCTCCTTAATTAAAATGTTGTGTTTAAGTTAGTTTTCCTGATGAAAGGGAGTGAAAGGAAAGTGAACCCAGAATTCTGTAGAATAAAGTAAACGATGTACTTGTTTAGAAGGACTAAAGATAAAGTCTAAAATAATGTCAAGAAACTCTTTATGTGAGCTGAATGATCATCTTATCGATCACAATCATTTATATTTAGTGATATAATCAGTCTTTCATTCACAGTGGATGGTTTCCTATAGTTTAATATAAGTGAGAAATTATGTATTTCGTTTTTTGATAAAAACATATATATGAATTAAGGCAAACATGTAGACTGTTCTACAGTTCGACGATTATCGGTTCACTATCTTTTAGCGAAATATATAAGCTATTACCTAATATGTAATGTTACGTTTACTTCTGGAAAGTAGGAAATCAAATGATACTTATCGAAAGGTATATTTGATAATTCGTTAATCACACTTCCTTCGTTTCGAATTCCGGCTTAATCAATTTGTTAAAAGTTCTTTTGGCGAGACTCTAATTTATGAATGACCTTGAACGAATTTTATGTGACCTTGAGAAATATTAGCCAATCAGAAACAGTTAGTATTGAGTAAAAAAATATAATACAAAATCAAAGAATTAAAGTGGATACATTTCTTTTACATGGTTCAAAAAATTGTCCTCCAACACACATTACAACGAAAGCAACATCATCACGGTAGTCTATACAAGGTCCACAAGTCATTTGATTACCTTGATCACAAATAAAGGAACTTTTTAGTAGTCCCATTTATTGTAGTCGCTAAATTATCACGCTTTCCCTAAAATTCGCTGCGAACCGATGGTATGTGAGCTCAGGTACTGAAACTGGCGCCGCGACCTTGAAATCCCTGAAACGCTTCTGATTGGCTCGTCCATAAATTATAGTCTAGCCGTTCTTTTATACCATTTCTAAACTCCAGGGACCTCATATTCAACTGTAATATGAAAATTTAGTTAGTCTAACTCAGTGTCATCAAAGCAATTTCGTCATCTCAAATCTAATAAACATCTATTTCTGTTATCGATAGATAGGTTTCTTATTGAATAGTCCCAAACTTCTGAGAGGAAACAATGATATAATCTTGAAACGACTTGATAAAGGTGAGGAGGTTTTTACGCCAGAAATCTAGAACTATTTGTAAGAGGCTTTTTTTATGCCTAGCATAAGTTTATTACACCATAAAGGATAGATGTAAAAAAGCTACAGGCTATAAAACAGCCTACAATTGTCATTTTAACAGATTATTTTCAATGTTTTGAAGTGAAATTAAAATCGGAAGTATACAAATTTATTGAGTCATATTTGGTGAATATAAATACTGATGACTGGTACTTCTTGACTTCCAACAGATTCCACAATCAATGTTGTTTTGTGCAGTTGGCTATTTACAAAGTCGATGAGTATCACTAATTAACAAAGTAACTGTTTTAAATCATTAGATTAGTAAAAGGTACCCTTGAATAACTGAATTGAGTTCCTTACATCTTATATGAATCATCAACAAAAGATATTGACAAATTTTGAACATTCAAGGTGATATGGGTATCTGTCAAAATTTCCAAACTTACGTCTTCTACGTAAATGACATCCGTTAAGAGGATTCCATTCAGCTTCTAGATCACCCAAACCAGTTACGGGATCACGAGTAATCACTTGAAGGTGAAAAACAAATAATGGGAAAATAATTTAGGTCTACGATATTGAATTAAAGTCTGATCTAATAATCAGAGATTCCAATGAACAGCATCATTTACTTCAAGTTCAAAAATATCTTCGACTGAGAATAGTCATCAACATTTGGAGTACTAATTATTCTGGATTAATTACTACGAAACTAGAACGGTTAAAAATTGAAATAACAGAGTAGATTATCGTTTGTGAATAACGGCTGCATTTGCGATTTATAGTAAAGTGAGTGTTCCGTCACAACCCTGGATGCATTTCTTTAGTCACTAGCTTCTTAGAAAGTGTAGTTCTTTATTGTTTATTTTAAAAGCCTGCAACGTTTCGTCATTAAGTATGGTGCATTAGGGTTTCTCCATATAAATGCAATGTCATAGTGAATTGGTGAGTTTATTTTAGTGTTCAGCATCGGAACATGTAATGACTGATTCATATTACTAATCTACTTATAATGAAGATTGCTAGTATCTGGAAACATTATGGGTATTTATTGATAAAACTGTTCTGCTGAATTTACAGATTCATCTATCAGAAGTATTTGAAATCATTTGCATACAGCAGTCATAATTGCCTTGAGTTACTGACAATCAACCAAAAATGAGTAGTGTTTTTTTAACTTGAAAAGTCCGGAGAAATCGAATAATTTTCTTGAATAGGTCACCTGTAGTATTAGGAAAATCAATCCAGTTGTTTGTTGCTTTTATACTTTCACGTTCTTGAAGAACCATAACGCTTAACATTTGTATTTTTCCCACTTCTGCCTCTTTGAAATTGGAATGACTACTATTTTTAAACATATATATGGGATTGACTTGCAAGCCTTTAATTCCTTACAAAAGTATATTTGGCACAAAAAGATACGATCCTTTGAAACTGTACTTTTATTAAACTACGTAATCAATTTACGTTATATTGTCTCCAAAATATATTTTATTTCTTTCCTCCATTATGCAAACACTAAACGTATTCACATTTTTTAAAGCAAGGTTGTTTTCTACAAAATTAGGATGCTGATCTTATGCCCAACCCTCGTCCTTTACCCGGGCTTAGGGCCGGCATTAACCCTAGAAGAGTTTTAAGCGTAAAGGATTGCCCAGGACAGAGTTTGATTGAAAATGCTGATGAGCGGCCTAAGTAAGTAAACGAAATCGCAAGATGTCAAGCCACGTGGTCAGATGAGTTACCTAGCTTGTTCGTCACTTAATCTCAGTTTTGTAAACTAAAGCTCTTTTTGGGCTAATTTATTGTTTTTACTGAAAGTATTAAAAAATTATGAACTTCGCTAACCAATAGTTGGATAAAGGCTAATCACTAGGATCAAACTAAATTAAGAAGATTGACATTTTTGTATGGTATGATCAACCATTTATTTAGTTATGTGAAATAGCTCAGTCAACTTATCAACTGTACAGAATTACTTTCAAAGTGGATTATTGTTTCGCTGAGGTACAGTGCGAAAGATAACATTAAATTCCCGGGTTCTATCTCATCAGTTCAGTTCTCCAAAATATACATGAACCTTTCTTTGTGGTAGTATACACATTCTCAAGGGTTGTTGTTTAAAACAAAATTAAGACAATTCGTTCCCGTTTCCTTATCATCATTTTAAGTTTATCCCAAAGTAATATCTAGATTAATAAGTGTAATTTTACTTGGAACGATTCTATGGTTGTAGTAAATCTGAAATGATGGTAAAGAGTTTTGTTCTCTGAGCTGAATGCTTTGGTCATGAAGCTTTAATTATATTTTTGAACATCATCTATTTATATTGTAGTATAATAGTCTTACAAACCTGAGTGTTTTTGTATCATGCTATATTGTTTCAAGGTTAGACATTTCAGACACTTATCAGTAGGTACTGAACCTATCTTACATATTGATCAGTAATAATTTCCGACGTACACTTGAAAACCTCCAAAGAATAACAATATTAAATTTAACACAACTACGCTTCTTTTTAGTTACATTTATTATCTACAATTTAATGCGATTGAATAATTGCTATTTAGAGTAAAACAGACCATTAATACATATAAACATTGATTGAACAATCTGTTTCATTAATCAAACACCTTTTTAAGACAAAATTGTACATTTTTGATTGAGATCATAAACTGATTTATGTTAGAGTAAATGAAATACCATATAAAATGAATTCAATATTGTTGCTAATCATATCACCTTTAATCAATAATAAAATCGTTTACTTAAAATAATATACAATTTTATCAATATAAGGTTGTGGAGATCATTGAAAACCTGTAAGAACTGGACAGCTATTTCGTCATATTGTGGGACTCCTCAACAGTGCGCATCCGCAATCCCTCTCACAGGATTCGAACCCATGGCCTTCAGTTTCTCGCGCGAACGCTTAACCTTTAGACCACTTAGCCGGCACCCAACGGCTAATCTCAACCAATCCATGAAATTAAGCGACCATCTTCCATTGCACTAAGCATAATCTTAATTAAAAAATTTATAATCTCCACAACCCTATATTGATAAAATTGTATATTATTTTAAATAAACGATTTTATTATTGATTAAAAGTGATATGATTAGCAACAATATTGAATTCATTTCATATGGTATTTCATTTACTCTTACGAAAAGTAAAATCCATTACTCAAAGCAATAGATTATATAAATGCATTTACCTTCACCAATCTTCGAATGATTTGTGTTTCAGCTGACTTGAGAAATTTTATAATAATCATTAATGGAAGTAAACTATCTATTAATATTAGATTGATCAATAGCAGTGTTTAGAGAATACAGTCAATATAATGAAAAATTACATATATATATGTACTTGTATGTCACATGTGACTAAATCATTTACTCTAATAATAAATCTCTAATATACTCACTCAATTGTCTAATAAGCTCAAGAAATATATATGTATATATATACATAAATTTGTACCCACATGACCGTATATATTGATGTAGGTTTGTTTATACACATTTTTAACATAGTATACTAGTAACAAACATAAATACTCAGTAATTTAAGCATCCTATGTAATTAGTGTAAAACAACAACAACATACAACTCATTTCATGTTTCCATTAAAGTTCGAAGAAAGTGTTATGCAACTAGTTGGAAATGTAATATGCATGAGTAAGTAACTATAGATAGTATTATAACTGAACGCGTCAAAAACAAAATGAAAGAACATATATGACTGAAATAATTAAGCATATATATATATATATATATATATATATATATATATTACTGAAATAGTTTGTATATCATGTGAAAATGTTATAGATATCAAGGAAATGTATTTGAAAATGGATTTACATTTTCATAAATAAATATATAAGTAATATGTATTAAACAAATAACTAACTTCGATTTCTTAAACCAGTCTCTGGATTTAAATATGGTAAATATTTTTCTAATAGACGTAGTCCTTCATCTTGATATCGATCATGTGTATATTCACAGTAAACTGAGGAAAACAAAAACGGAAAAAAGAAAGTAGATGCATATACATTGAAATAAAAGGTGTGTACTGATTAAAATAAAGAATTGTAATGGGATATTTTAATTTAATTTTGTGAGCCCAATAAAACTGGGTTCTGAACAAATATGGAGTAATTTTAATAGTTGAGATTATGAGTCGATTGAAGGTAGACTACCATAGAAAACGTGAAAGAATTTGACGGCCGTCTCGTCCGATTGTGGAGCTCATCATCAGTGCGAATCAGCGACCCCTCCTTACGGGATTCGAAACCAGGACCTGTCGGTCTCGAGCACGGACGCTTAACCTATAGACCACTGAGCCGGCATCTAACGGTGTTAATGTTTAAATTCAACTAATCCACGAAATCGAGCAACACATCTCTCATCGCCTTCAGTGAGTATTTCAAGTATTAGCTTTTTATTTAAAACTAGAATTACTGTTTTTTGTGATGGCACCTCTAGTTTTGAGCTACAGTCTATCTGCTTAAATTCATAATGTTATTTAGTATTATCAAAACTTAGACAAATCCTGCGGTCCATATTTGGGCGCACAAGCTTATATGTGACAAATGATTCACGTTAAAAGTATTATCCCTTGTTTTAACATATACTTCAGTGATGCGCATTCACAGTGCCACCCAGACATGAGATCCTCATGCTTTGTAGTGGGCAGATAGCTGAGTCTTTCAGTATCTGGTATTGTGGGACCAGTACTTATTATGACTATTTATATCTGCCATACGCTTCATATGGTTGGACTTACATGACCACAGCCTAGAACACTCGGAACTACCTCTAAAAATTAATCACTAATGAGCAGATAGTTGTTATTTGTATAATGGGGTTGTGGATATTGTTGAATTTGCAGTTTATATACATGTATCATATAAAATTGAGAGGTTTGTGTTGACTAAATCTAGGTGTCAAGATTTGTTTTTCCTCATAGTTTGATTGTATGCTAACTGTTGACTAAAATCAGGTATGATTTCCTAAGTTCTAGGCAGAATTCACAACAGATAAAGTTGACTATTATCAGAGAAAAACTTTCAGAACCATTGACAATCAATTTGCGTTGTGTTTATATTGATTAAAGTTGGGCATTTAAATCATATGATTCTATTTCCCTAGTTTTAAACATAAAATCTTCCGATGTTTGCTACCTTATGATGAAATATTTTTAAAACACAAACGTGAACTTGATCATGCACTTCGAAAGAAGGAGTTCAATTAAACAATATTAATACAAAGTAAATTTATTTCTATTTTTTTCATTAAGTGTATAAACTCTGAAAGTAATTGTCAAATAGATAACTATATCTTTTGAGACATTGACTTATGGAAAATGTAAATATGATAATATAACTAGGGTTCTTTTTAAGCAAGGATGGATAGTGGCTGACAGTGGAATCCACCACGCGCGTTTCGTCCTATTTGGGACTCGTTAGTACAGGCAAGTGGCTATCAGGAATCAGCAGCAAAGTGAATAAAGCGATGGCGTTTGAAGCGAACGGTACTGTGTTCGGGTCCTAGAGTGAATATGAACTTTGAGATGCAGGTGAATTCAGCTGACTAGACTCAAATAGGAGGAAACGTGCGTCCTGGATTCCACTGCAACACATTATCCATATTTGCTTAGAATGCTTGTGAATTAAGGCAAATCGAGGCGATCCGCACAGGATCCACATAAGCCAACAAGAGACTGATCAATTTCAGTCCTAATCATTAATCGAAAGATTATAGTAAACAACACCAAGTGAATTTAGGGTTCTTTTTGTTTATATCCTATAATTTTGATGTTTGATTATAATTTCTTGGAAAAGCTTGAGCCAGATTATTAGGCGAAACGTTGAGTTCACTGAGATTTTACAGATAAATTTTTTATAATTGCGTAGAGCTGTTTTGAAAGCTTTACATTGTTGTAAAATGACGATAAGAGCCACATAGTTGCACCTCAACCTAAATGTTTCGCCTTTAATGTACACAAATTTTAATCTGACTAGGTATTCTTTATATTGGGGAGATCCAGGAAGTTCCTCAAAAAAAGCCAACAAAGGCTCTGAAAACTCTAAGAAACACCTTATCTAGTCACCATTCAACAGAAGTTATGCCAGAAACATTTAGAAAGTGAAAAGTCACATATCACGTTTCTCATTGGATGAAGACGTATACTGCTACTGTGTTTAGTAGCGTCCCAGAATTTTCCGGAAACCCAAGGCCATCTTAATACTATGAAAACCTTTGATTTTTTATACTCAAGCGAACCTTTGGATTAAAGCATTTCTTTTATATTTCTCACCTTTTCTCTTGTGTTCAAGTTGCTGTGTAGATTTAACCTGGGGCTTACTAGAGGAGCTTAGGAACCGAATCTATCGACTTATTACTTCAAAATAATGGATATTTAGCATTGTGTTTCGCAACAGAATCTACGCTTTTATATAAAAAATAATTTAAATGCTATTAAAATGTTTTTTATTATAATTTTGTATAACTTTGACAAGTTAGGTGAACAGAATTCTAACGAAAGAAAAATAAACTTTTAATTCACTCTACGACTCCCACAATACATACAAAGAATTTCAGAACAATCCTTGGTGTTTGCTCACTTTGATTCCCACATTAATTGAATAGTCTTGAACATAAATAAAAGACAACTATAACATACAAGATGTATTCCACGATCATTTGAAAATGAGTTTTAGACATTACAATTTTCTTATAAAAGATTTTGAAACATTGAATACACTTGATCAGTCAAATTAGGCCAGAAATGTAGTGAGTTGGTCTTCAGATTTTTCCAGGAAGCCTTTTTTTAAAAAAAAACACTGAGTAACTGAAAGGAAGTTCTGGGGTTTTTCCTGAATTAGAATTTTTCCAAATGATTATAAGTGTCTTTTAGTATCGATACCAAATAATTGGTTATAGCAAATCTTTTTGTTACGAAATTCATACTAAAACATTCTTCATTGAATTTCATTTGGATTGTAAAGATTCGGAAAATACATAATAAATAAATTTTTACACTAATAAGTATTTTCAGAAGGGGTTTCATGGAGATTTTAGAAATTTCACTGATTGAAATCATGAGTCAATTGGTGCTAGACCACCATGGAGAACCTGGAAGCACTGGAAGGCCGTTTCGTCATAGTATGGAACTCCTCAGCAGTGCGCATCCACGATCCTGCACCCTGCGAGATTCCAACCCAAGATCTGTCAGTTCAACCAGGTCTGTTGTAAGATATCAACTCACTGGAGACAATGGTGTACGGTGGCGCAACTTCGTGGATTGGTTGAAGCTAGACATTAACACCGTTGGATGCCGGCTCAGTGGTCTAGTTGGTTAAGCGCCTGGCGCGAGACTGATAGGTCCTGGGCTCGAATCTCGCGGGGGTGCGGGATCGTGGATGCGAACTGCTGAGGAGTCCCATACTATGACGAAACGACCGTCCAGTGCTTCCAGGGTTTCCATGTTCGTCTAGCTTCATTGACTCATGATTTCAATCAGTAAAATTTCTAAAATCTCCACAAAACCCCTTCTGGTAATAATAAATAGGATGAAAAAAACCATTCAGTATGATGCACAAATTTGAGATATACAGTATGTATCTTTTTCAGGTAACTAAATATACAATTAACAATTGTCTATACAAGATGCTCAATGTCTGTTGTCCGGATACCATCAGAATCAAATTACTGTGGGAGAGAACAAACCAAATTAAGATAAAAGATACATTATGTAAGCCACGAAACTGTATCATGAAGTAAGCACTAACTTGGGATACTGAAGGAGAACGAAAAAGAGGAAGATTAAAAAACACACTGAACTGAGAATTGAAACCAGACATGAAAATAATGAGTAGCAAATAGAAATAACTGGAAAAGATTGCCCAGGACAGAGTTGGATGGACAATTCCGGTGATTGGCCTATACTCTTCAATGAGGGGTGACAGGCGTAAGTAAGTAAGTAAATAATATGATTACTAGATTAAATTAGTTTTTCAAAATGTTGATTCATCGTAGAAAACATGTATTCCACTGTTTACACAGTCGAAAAGGATTGATTACCAATTCATGTAGGTTGTTGGATGTTATCTTTAGATACCTTATCAACTTGTTCGCATCAAGATTATGAATATCAACCACATATTTTAAGTAGTATTTAACCTAGCAACCTCTCGTTTTTCTTAGATTATAATTGTTCAGAAGTTGCAAAAAAAAACAACGTATCTTCCCAAAGAAAACACTCATACTAAAAAAGAAAGTTAAGAACGTGTTCAATTCGTGGTTTATTGTGTACTAAACTTTTTCTCTTCATTTCTTTAATCATCTGATAAACTACTTTATAAATAGACTTCGTTTTAGATTTTCATAAGCGTCTAAATTGAAGTATAGGGTTTCATTTTTTTTTCTTTATCAATGAAGTAGTATAAAGAGATCATGGACATAGCAAATAATATAAAACAATACTCATCCATTAAACGAAATTTAATTGAATTAACTATTGAACACTAGAATTTATATTGTTTTTTGACCTTCCTAATTTAGCATATTATACTTCAATTACGAATCAATAAATGAAATTGTTTTTCAATCGAGTATTGAATAGGAAAATTAATTGTTTAGATAATAGGGAGTTATTGATAACGATTTTATTCCTGATATTCAGAACAGTCAAGTTATACATTGCAAATTTTTTTTTTTGAAATTATAAGCTTCTTATGTGTTTCTCAAATCATTAACGGATTTTAATAGTTGAATTCATAAGTCAATTCGAGAATTACCTCCCGAAGCTAGTCCTCAGTGAGCATGTGAAATCCAATTCGTATCGGATGTGAGACAGTTATTCACCTCACGTAATGGATAGAGGGTTGCGCGAGATCATGGATCGATTAAAGTTAAACATTAATACAAATGGATGCCGGCTCAGTGGTTTAGAATTTAGGCGATCGCACGCGAGACCGAATAGTTTAACAACCTATTATTCTTTCCCATTGTGGTTTTAAGTTCTGAGTAGTTGAATGAACGACAGATTTTAATGATCAATCTTTCTTTATATTAAAAGGAAGTGAATCTTGACTGAGATTTATTTGTATCTTAAATTTAAGTTATTCAGTGGTGTAACTATTAATCTGGTTTATGATGTGCAGTGTTTTACCGATATTAATATTTTACACAATAATTCGAACACAGAAAAAGACTAAGTAGAAAGACTTTATTATGTAAATTTGTTTTTAAAAAATTGTAGTTTGTATACATTGCAGATTGATCTCATTTTGTGCACCATTTAAAACTAGGGGGCATTAAACAATAGCCTTGTCCTACAATAGGATCATTCAACGGTATACATACATTACTTAATCGAGTATTAAACCTATGTGATGAACACGGACTACAGATTAAACCAGTCTTCATAAATTCCTTTCAGTAAGTCTATTCATCGAGACGATCGAGAAGATTTGTAGCTCAGGTGGATGGTTTTGATGAAATTTTGTTCTCTGAGCTGGATGATTTGATCGTGGAGCTTTCATCGTTATTCCGAACGACATTATCAGCCCAAACTTCAAGTAGAATCTATTCATTATTATGTCAATAAACTTGTAAATATTCAACTTCTTAACATATCAAATTTTCATTAATAATATAAAATAAAATGGAAACTTGACTAATCAAAACAATAAAATGAAAGGAGAGAAATAAAATATTTACATCAACAACAGAATAATCTATTATTGGTCGATGTCATCTCATAGTTACAGATTAAGGAAAAATAGCATCACTTAACAGTTATTGAATCTTGAACCTGATTCATTTTATTCACTGTCCCAGTTGACACAACTGCTCTACAAGACATCTGCAAACGTATTACTCTACAGTGATACTAATCCAATTTATAAATAAATAAATAAACTCTGTTTGAACCCTGTCAGTCTATTAGTCTTAATAATAATAATTACTTCTGTAAAAAAATGTTTCAATTATCCTTTAATAAAATATTATGGTAATTTTAATGGTTGAGATCATTAGTCAACAGAAGCTAGACAACCACAGAAAACATAGAAGCAGTGGACGGCCAACTTGTCCTAATTTGCGACTCCTAGGCAGTGTGCACTCAAGATCCCGACTCGCGAGATTCGAACCCAGGACCTGTCGGTCTCACGCGTGAATGCTCAACCTCTATACCACTGAGCCGGTTGGCATCCAAAGGTGTTAATGTCTAACTTCAACTAATCCACGAAACTGATCCACCGTTCTCCTTTGTCTTCAGTGAGTTACTATCTCACAACAGACTCGGTTTACTCCATTGGTCACTGTTATTCACTGGAACTCCAGGAAATATCTCTTAAAGCCAGTCATCAGTGAGGAGTCCTATACTAGGACGAAATGGCCGTCCAGTGATTCCAGATTTTCTATGATGGTCTAGCTTCGATTAACTCATGAATTCAACTATAAAATATCTATATTTGTTGTTTACTGATCACAGGAAGAAGTATATGAAAAATTGGATTGTTATTGTTGTGAATATTTATCTATAAATGTAATCATACAATTTGTAACTTACTATTCGCTGGTATACAAGCCATTTTATTCGATTTATTCATAGACATTTTACTGATTTTGTTTTATTATTAAAATTGAAATCTGACCTTGAGTTTGATTGTTTGTTTATTTTGATGATGATGATGATGATAATAATAATGAACCAAATTATCAATAATTAATCAATGTCCAATATATTGAAATAGATTGAATATTGAAAGTGAAATTCTCCATACTTAACAAAGAAAAAGGAAACATTAAACTGTTATTTATTTATTTTTTTAAAATCAGTAACTTCAAAAGTAAACAAGGAGATTCGTTTGTTTAAATGAAATAAATAGTTCAATGGTGTTAAAATTTAAATTATCCACGAAAAAAAGATAATGTTAATTTATGAATTAAACTTGAGTATATTGAAGAAGAAGAAGAAGAAAGCAAAAAAGTAGTTGACGTTAGTAAATAAAAGTAAATTTGTAAACTGAAATACTTCTCAATAGGTTCCAATCTTGTACACATGTATGAATGAGTCTATCTATTTTGTAAGTACATGTATGTCTGTCTATGTGTATATCGAACATGAACACTGAACCAATTAGTTTCTTTCATATACTTTTTTTATTATTTGTATAACATATATCATTAAACCACATGATTTAGATTAGAAGATTACACTTTTAGTGCTTCTATTGATACCCTTTTTATTGAATTATATGTCAGCACACATATACATATTGAGTTTTACACGATTTCTGCATAGGCACACATGCATTTCTACACAAGTGAAACAGTACATATGTACACACACTCACCCACTCATTCACAGGTTGAACACATGTAAACAAGTCACATGATTATGAGATATTAATTGAATATTTCTGTACTCACCTTATTGTTTTTTTTAATAAGGGCGTTAACTGTTCATAATATTAACCGAAGTCTACCTGATTACTGCCATTATTTTTTGTCGTTATTACTGTTACTACGACTAATACTAATACTAATACTCTTATTCTATGCTCATGTCTTTACCTTATTTCAATCATTACTAATGGATTTTAATTAGATTTGAAATTTCATATTTACGTATTAAAACGCAACCAAACAAACACGCATATGCACAAGGAAAGCGGTGTCCTTTTAATTAGTTCACTGAAATTTATAAGTTCCATAACGCAAAATACGATAGTAATAAAAAGTACATTTATGGGTTGGTATTTTATGTAGCAAATTGATATACATAATGTATATTAAGTTGAGAGAAAATACTGAGCCATAGTATAATAAATTATTATCATCACATTAGAAACTATTAATATTCGATTGTTTCGCAGTGGAAAAACTGTGATTTTAACTACTGGTGTGGTGTGTGCTACTGATGTCGACAGATAGAAGTAATATGTATCACCAATCGAAAGTGAAATACCTGGAAGTAGAAGGTTGGGAAAAGAAGAGAAGAGAACAAAGACAGAGAGTGATTGATATAGAAATGAAGGAACAACAATGTCTGAGATAGTTGATAGACATTTTGCAAATGAATTATTTAATGTATGATTCGCAGATTTTACTAAGAGATTCGGTAATTTTGTACTTAAATATACTTGGTTGACTTACTGGTGATGTCGTTCTCTACGCTGAGTAGTAACCTTTATATAACCGACCCTACTTGTTATCATCTGCGTAGCTGAACAAAATTTATGACCCAAAGCTGACCACATGAGATTTATAATATTTTCATTATATCAGAGAAATTAGTTTTCTTTCAAATAACTAGTGAAATAAACTTTCATGTAATTAGATTTACGGTGTGTGTAGGGTGATCATATTATGCACTTGAGCAAATTTAATTTGGTAAAACTCAACTTTGCAATAAAACCTGTTGCTTTAACATTAAGTTATTGGTCTAAACAATATGTTAAGTGGTGAGAAGCAGTCTACATAAAACATCTAACCAAGGTTTCATGGTATTTGGTATTTGTATGTGAGGTGTACTTGTAATCCTGAAGGGAACCATGCTTCATGTGGTATTTAAAATCACATCACCTGGCTTCACACTGTAAAAAGTTTCCATTGAGCTACTTACTGACGTAGATTTCGTCCACCAGTTACCATAAGATTACGGGTGTTTTTACTGACAAGTACAAAATGGCAGGAAACATTGGTCCAAGGATTCCTGTCAACAATCTTCGACCACCAATATCTCAACATGGGGACAAGATGTTGAGTTACTTAGACTAGTGACTTCATACCGACTTGATCGATAACATTCATCAGAATCAAAGGAATAGACAAGTACGATATTGGTTATTATTCAGTTATCAATTAGTTGGTCTAACTAACGAAATTTCAAACTTATTAATGAGGAGAATCAATTTCAAAAATTTTTTTATTAAATAGGCTAATGATCCAATAATACAGTTAATAAAGCTCACAAATATAACATTTTAAAATGTATTTTCATACTCTAGAATTCGAAAGAACCTTAAATTATTATGGATAAAATTTAGAGGAGTTTTATACACAAACAAACATATTGTGTTGGCCGTTAGATTACTTAAATTGTCAGCTCTCATCGGCATGACATCTTTCATTAATAAAACTACTTATCTCATTAATGTATTTAGCTTTTGAGTGAAATCATAACCTGAGATTGTGTTATTGAATCATTAGATCAATTCCTAAAAGGGATAAAATAGATGTATGAATGAATAATGCATCTTGTAATTGTAAGACATACTTTTATACAGTATGCAAAACTTAATCAAAGAATCCATTTCAAACTTTCAGAAACCTAAAATTTGAATCTTATAGCTTGTGTGATTTCAAGCTGTGTTCTATAATCCACAGGACACGAACATTTTCAAAGTCTTCAATCTACAAAATTGATTACTGCATGACTTATATCTAACGACAACTGGCTTATTACCTCGTATAAACGTTTATTGTTATGCTACCATAAAGAACTTATGCATACATTGAATGATACTAAATTATATCTTAAATCAATCTCAGATGTAAGTTGCTTCACAGTGTGTTAACGTTAAGCTTTAGTAAATTGAGAAAAATATCTTAGTAAGCAATGATGGACAGTGGCTAGCAGTGGAATCCAGTATGCCCGTTTCGTCCTATATGGGACTCGTCAGCTGGATGCACCTGAATCTCAGGGTTGATGTTCACTCTGGGATTCAAACCCATCACCATTCTCTTCAAACGCCATCGCTTTATCCACTTAGCTACTGAGTCCTGATAGCTACTTGCTTGTGCAATAGGGTGAGTTTCAATTCATTTGGTATTATTTGGCTTGTATCTTCCCATTGAGGTTTAAGACTGCACTGATCAGTCTGTTATCGGCATATCCATCATTGCTTACAAAAAGCTTGTGAATTAAGGCAATATCGAGGCATACACGCAGTATGCACATATGCCGATAAGATACTGATCAATCGCAGTCTTAAACCTCAATGGGAAGATACAAGCCAAATAATACCAAGTGAATTAAAATATCTTAGTGTCATCAAAAACTTCTTCTTTGAATGAAGATATATTTATGTGTAGTATTGAATACGTTCAAAGATATACCACATAATTTCCAAGTAATTCAAGTAAACCTTTTAAAATCTTTAAAACAGTTTTATATACATTTAGAACTGATGAATTTATTCAGATTAATTTTTTAAGAATCAATACCTTTCAATTTATCTCTAGTTTTAACTAGATTTTATATTATGAGTGATACCCTGTCATTTTTATTTCAAAGATATGATCTTTTCAAATATATGAAGAATCTTGCACTATATTAACAAAAAATAGTCTTCTAATTTGTTCATTGAAGTGTTTTTGTTTCATCATGAAGAATATGTACATATAGTAGATGGATTGACATTTTACAAAACAAGATAAAGTACATAAATCAAGGTGAGAGAATATACTATTCTATGGTATGATAAATTTCTAACATTTAAACAAACAATATCGATAATCTACTGAACTGTATGTTCTTAGTTTATAGAACTATTTTTTAATGAGACTTAATGATAGGAATTATATTCAAATCTATAGAGCTCCAGTGATCGATCATTTTTGTCAAAATGAACTATAATTTATATAATTTTACTTAGGAAGACTTCAAATTAAGGGTTGCCAATATAGTTTTGTCTCTGGAAAAATCATAAAATGTCTGTTACTTCTTTTAATCAGGTGATATTACATTTACAGAATATTATTTTATTCAATATATGTATATATATTATCAGAAGGGATTTGGTGAATATTATGAAAATTTTAATGGTTGAGATCACGAATCATTTGAAGCTAGACCACTATGGAAAACCTGAAAGCACTGGACGGCCGTCGCGTCCTATTGTGTGACTTCTCTTTTCTTCCCTCCTCAAGAGAAGTCTCAAAATAGAACCCAATGGCCGTCCATGCTTCTAGGTTTTCCATGGCGGTCTATTTATTTATTATTTTATTTATTTATTTGAACACATAAATATTGGTACAAGAGTCCGCCACACAAAACAATGAGAATTTTAAGAGAAGGAAAAAGAACGAAGGTAAGGAGCGTAAAAAAGAAAAGAGAACAATAACGAAGAGATTGATGTAAGGTGGTGTAATAATAATGGCAAAAATGGGGGAACGGAAAGGTAAAATCAGAAGAAATCTTTCAGTTAAGCAAGATACAACCACTCTTTACGAAGAAAATAAAAGAGGGTTACAGCAGGATCGCCACTGGCTTCTATTCTGAGCCATATCTGATAACGTCTCTAGCCACTGTGTAGCACTATCTCTCGGTTTAACCGGACAGTGACTCGAGAACGTTTAGATAGAGTCGGATTTCCACCATAGACGAGATGCATAAGTCGAAAAAATAAGTATAGACAGCGTAGGAATAAAAGAGGGCGAATAATCACGTAGTGAATAATAATAATAATAAATAATAACAATAATAGTAATAATAATAATAATAATTTGAATCATTTGATTGTTAGTCAAAGCAAGAAAAGTAGTTTCCATAAATGTACACACTTCATCATTTGTGTGTGGTCTGTTATACTGCCCAGGTGCCCAGACC